AATATGTTCAACGCTTTAAATTGTGAGCTGGGTAAGCATTCGTTGTCACTTGGGAGAAACCTCGGAGCTACTTGCGTCCGCACAAGGCACATAAACACATAGTTATCAGGTTTACCATAATCGCTCGTGGTTTATAACTTCTAGTAAAGTTAAAGTTTCGAAACCACTAGTACGTCCACACGGCCTTTAGCAGGGGCGGCGCTTTATTTATTTTATTTGTATTATTTTGTCATTTATTTTGACAGGGTAGCCCTTTCAGTTATAAAAACTGCTCGACCAAGGGGCCCTGTATCAACATAATCAAAAATATATTTACAAAACATATAAACATTCATAAGTTATAATGAACACAAGAATTAAACAAGATCAAATATTGAAATAAAATTAATGGGGGGGGGGGGGTAAATATTAATGTAAGTACTATTTTAAACTATGTGAGAGAATGGAGTTTGCAGTGTTTTTAAAATAAATCCAGTGAGTTTAATGAACGTAAAGAAGGGGGTAATGCATTCCATATAACGGAGCCTTGATAACAGAAAGATCTTTTGAAATACTCGGTTTTGTGTTTTTCGATGAATAGAGGACAGGTAGTTGCATAAATGTTTATCGGTCGAAAGCACACGATATCCTTAATATATTTCGGCATTTTATTATTAATCACCTTATACATCCATATTATTAATTGGTATTGCAATCTCTCAACAACTGATTGCCATCTTAGACAGGATAACAATGTACTTACGAGGTGTCATAATATCTACGTTTAGTATTAAACGGGCATAACGATTTTGAAGCTTTTGTAACTTTTCCAAATGCCACTTTGCTGAACAGCCCCACAAAACAATACCGTAGTCAATATGTGACAATATCAAACTATCATATAACAATTTAAAAATTCTGTTCGACAAATAATATTTAATTCGTTTTATACATTATATGGTTCTAGATATTTTGGAGACTATGGGGTCCAATTAATTGCTCGACAGCTACAAGATAAACCTCGAAGTTTAAAGTAAACTAAGAGTTTAGACTCTCGTGTGAACCTATTTAACAATAATTATTTTTATCCCCTTGAGGGAGACCAGGGGTTCACTCAAATGGGTTAAGGCGTGTAACATTAGACGACCAAAGCACTGATGGAGGGGGTGGGTGGGAAGTTCCAGTCTCCCCTTTAAAAATCCAATATCACATACATGTACATTAAGTAAAAAATGAAAGAAATATTCCCCCCCCCCTTATTTAGCGCTCTTCTGCGCTATTTATCGTGAAAAACTGTTTTTTTTTACTACGCAGGTCCTTACTTACTTGTCAGTTGTTGTTTTGGGGATTTTTTTTTTTGGGGGGGGGGGGGTAGGGGATTCATCCTCTTTTTTTATAATCGTGAATCCGCCCTTGACGAAAGTTAGAGCATGGATCAAGTTTAAACCCCCTCCTTTCTTTCCAACGGCACGATGTATAGCGCCCGCCTGTTGCTTTATTTTAGATAAAATGTCGTATCTGTCAAATTTGATGAGCCTGTTTTTCGTCCATTTGGGATATAATGGTGAAAGGGGCAGAAGATCAGGAGTGCGAAGTTTTATTATGATGAAAGTTAGGATATTTGAGCCCAGTTCTCGTCTCGTGGCTTCATTTTTTTCTTCAACCTTTCTATGTAACGCAGGAAAAGAGCAGGTGGTTTTATAAGTGTATAGAGCTTCTCTACAACTACATATTTTTGCATAATGTGTCTCCATTTCAAGGAAAAGGCTATATAAATGTACTGTCTTCCGAAAAATTGCATTGGCTAATTTCTAAAAGGTGCGGGTGCATCTAATATGCTACCGACATAATAGTTGTGTAACCTTCCAAACAATTTTGTTTTAATGCTCAGTCGGGGACATGATGTTAATTTGCAGCACTTGTAATTAAGTAAATTGATCACTCGAGTACAGTCTATATGGAGGTGGTTTGACGTTGTGGATAGAGCGATTGTCTTATTTAGCAACAGCTCACTTGGGTTCGAAATAAGTTGAGTTAGCAATTCCCCAAGAGCATAGTGAATAACAAGGCTCCATGAGACCTTGCATGAGACCTAGAGCCGTTAGTACCCTGGAACTTACTTACAGTCGTATACTTCATTTCTTATAGCTCTCTGGTCAAATAGGAAATAGATAAACATATACGTTTCTTCCCAATATTTTCTGCAAACAAATTTATTCTCCTACATACTCCTATGATAGCGTCATGTACCCCCTCTCCCATTCCAGCTCATATCGACTCAAGCATTCATGCTTATGATAGTTTGACTCTGCATGTATCTTGATTCTTTGATTTACCCATATACTTTCAAGTTCTCAATTATATATATGCATTTTTGTGTGTATTTCAGTTTTCAAATGTTATGTAAATCAATTATATTATGTTATTGTTATTGTTATTTGAATATTTGTTTATGATTTTTCAATTAATGCAGAAACATCTGTTAAAAAAGAAAAAAGAGTGAGATATTGTCTTGAGATAACCTTCTGCAGGAGAGGGAACAGGGTTAAGCAAATTTGGAACAAAAGATGACAAAGAATAGGTCCAAAGTCTCATCAAGTCCTTGGTTATGAAAGATCCAATATTTGTGTGATGAAAAGAAGAATAATGGTGCTGTGGAGAAAGGACTGTTAAGCAAATAGTATGATCTTTTGTGATGTATTTTTGGAAATCAACAGAAGACTTGTCTTGTAACAACAATAATAATTGTCCCTTTCGATCTCGCCAACATACATGGTCAAAGTCATTATCTCTTCAAGGTTAATTCATGGTGGCTCAGTGGTAGAGCAGTGGGATCGTAACCGGGAGGTCCCAGGTTCAAGACCAAGTCGATGCGCCAGTGCCCTTTTGGCAAGGCATTGGTCAACACGTCCCTTGAATGGGACCGGCATAGAAATAGCTTCTTTGATTGATGGTGATCTACACGCATATTGGGGTGTTTGTAGCCGTCGGGTAATTACAATTCATAAACGTTGTCGCCGTTTTGTTTTTGTTCCATTTTACTGTATGCGTTCGGACTCTTAAACTGTCTAAAGAGCATCACCTCAGAATTCACGTTTCCAAGTTGGAGCTGAAACCGACATTTATATATGTTTGCAGAAGGTAACTGATATTAGAACATCCTGATACGAGAGAATACTGCTATTCTTCTTTATTGCCATATTTACTCTCACTTTCTGTCTCGGATATATACTTGCTGTTTGTAACTGTGGTCCCATCTATATACTATCGCCGTGATATACTCTTCTTGTAGAACCATATAGGCCTGTTTTCTGTACAAGTAATCTATTCACTTTAATTGTGTGCGCAGTGAATCCCTTTTTGACAGTGCTATATTTGTTTTCGTACTTGGCCGTGGAGCTTTTTTATTGAAGAACCGTGTACATTCCGTGTACCTTCCCAATACTGTGTCGTGAGTTGTGACATATCCTTATCATGTTTTTTTTTACCTGTGTAACTATATATCACTACTATGCTAGAAACAAGAAATACTACACATAAGGCTATGACCACTCAGTTGGTCAAGGAATTGGACTCTAGTGCAGATCGACTTCAAAACAATGTTAATAACACTATTTCAAGATGCCAGGTTTATGTTAGAGTTATATGTACCTCCCTCGTCAATACCGCTATTCCGCTATTGTGATGTTGTCTGGCCAAACTGTTCAGAAGGACTTTTAGATAGACTGCTAACATGTCGTAATAGGTTAGCAAGAGTGATCCTGGGAGCGCATAATTATAAAGACCCAAATACCAGATTAAGTTAGAGCCTTACAATAGGAAAACATACAACTGCATGTACACTCAAGGTAAAATGGATTGATCGAAGTTTTAAAACGTGTCAATGGAATGGCCCTCAGTATTATGCCATTGTTTAATAAAACCCCAGTACTCCGTCGAAACCGTGTCAAAACCACCGCCTCCCTTCAAGAAACGGGTGTGGTAAACGAACTTTTCAGTACTTAGGGTCGAAACAATTATTGATTCAATTAAATGCCGAACATAGATGAGCCCCAGTGTCACACTACTCTTTAAAAGCATCTTTCGTATATCCGGTTTTAACCGCGGAGACAATACCGGGTAAAGGATTACTAAATGCATCTATTAAAGTGTAAACAGGATCTCTCTCTCTCTCTCTCTCTCTCTCTCTCTCTCTCTCTCTTTCTCTCGCCTCCTCTTCCTTATTTCTCTCTCTTTCTCTCCCACTCTCTCTATACGATCTTCCTTTACCCTCCCTCACTCAACACTCTGATATATATATATACTACCTTATATTCCTTTCAACGGCAGTAATCAGTGCTTGGACAGTTCAAAAAGCTTTCAATCAGATGTTTAGATCGAACCATACGTTTATATTTAGTTACAGTTTACAATATTGTATTCTGAATAGATGATTGGTACAACAAAATCAGAGAATAGCGTTGAAAAGAGCCATACTAAAGCTTTTCGACTTGCACTCATCAGAGTAAAACGCAAGAATGAAACAGAAAGCCGAAATCGATCAATATAAACAGAAACTATTGTATTCATGATATCATTATTGGTAAATCAATAATGATAAATCAAAATCGACTTTAGCAACTGTCCACCAAAAAAAGTATATTCTAATATTTCTTCTTACCTTTGCTTACATGTTTATGTTATTTATGTGTTCAAATTGTTATGCTTATTAAATCTGTAAATATTGTATATGCGTTGTTTTCTTACTGTGCAGGGCCGTCAGGGATAGCAGTTTGTAAACTGAAGAAGCAACCCTGTTTAAATTAAAACTGTAAATGAATAAATAAATAAAATATTTTCACTATAATTACATAACGGCCCTAGTATCCTGTTCAATACCGTTATTGATAGTGGTAGTAGTGCAGCTCCTGAGGATATATTCCGGTTTCATGTAGCACACAATTAGTTTCAACTTTCGATAAACAAGTTTTGCTAGTATTATTTTAGTCTTCAAGTGTTGGGTGTTTCTTTTTTTGTTATATCCGCAAATATAATACTTTCGTTATAGCAATTAAGGGTTATTGGGTTATTCTTCCATCCTTTCAAACGTTAGTCATTTAACCAAGAATGAATTCAATAGATCTTGAGCATTTGATTGTCAAGTGGATTTGGCGCACCCTACAAATCTTATGTATGATACTTAAACTAAATCACACGACGGAGTCATTGCTTCCGCCACTTAGCATTTTCCCTCCCTTTTTTGTGTGTCTTGTATCATTTTCAGATTGAAGCTGCATTGAACAAGAGTTAAACCAATAAAAGCTTCTCAGATATCTATACCGGAGCAGATGGACGGTCTACAAAATCCAGCCTTCGATGGAAGTGAGTCCACCGCAGGAGGTTCGCCATCCAAAACTCGCCCCGTCGGTGTAGTTCGGCCGGTACAATCCAATGGTGCAGGGGGTGACGCAGGGTCGTTGAGTCACGTCAAAGTTGAAGATGGGGGCGATGTGTCGACGTGCGGATGGGGTCCATTCAAGCCGAAATGTTTGCAAGTGAGTGAAGTGAATACGAGACCTACAATCCTGCGTTTTCATTCATGAATAAAGTCCACTGATTATTGTCAATGCTTAATGAATGAACGGCTCTCAATGCGTAAATAATATGAAAATCATTTGTCTAGATGCAAATTATGAAAGAGCTTAACGGGAAAATATCACTTTAACTGAGTTCAAATGAGAAACAATGATGAGAAAGGAGTTTTTGGATTAACTAATATCATTACACTATACAATATTTCGTCACAAAATAATCATTATTTTAAGTTTAATTTAGTATTTTCTATTCATTGCCTTAATTCCACGTGCCATACAATTGCCGAGCGTATTTACTCATTCACTGTATACTTGGGTAGACAGTGTGGCAAATCAACTTTATTTGACTTCCAGAAATCACATGTAACAAAATATAATAGAGTATAATCATAACAGTATAATGTACAATAATGTACATTGATGCCCTACCAAAGGACACGTCGACAATAAACTGAAACGGTTTTATTTTGCTCAGTGTTGCAACAGGCCCGCTGGTTTCCTCGTCTTCGTGTGCATATTCGGTTTCGTTCAAGGGATGACCGTCAATGGCCTCGTCTACGTGGTCACCACCACGCTCGAACGCCGCTTCAACATCCCCAGCATCCGATCGGGCTTCATCTCCAGCTGCTACGACTTCGGGACGCTCATCGTGGTCGCCTTCGTGACGTACTTCGGGGAGAGGGCCCACAAGCCGGTCTGGCTCGGCCTAGGTGCGCTGGGTTTCTCTTGCGGATCGATTCTCTTCACCGTGCCGCATTACTTGACTGGCTTATACCAGTTCGAGGTGAGTCCGTTTTGTTGTTGTTGATATAATGTTGTTGTTTTTTCGAGTCACGTGTTCCTCACTACACTTACACAATATATATTTAATACTATAACAATCATATTGGACCCCATGGAAGAACAGTCTTGTCTCTATGGCTTGACTGAACTGGGTGTCCTTCCGACTTAATTATTGTCTTCTTCTCTTCTCTTCTTTACATTGTATATGATGTTTTTTCTTAATGCATATTTATATTATGTTGCAAATGTTTTGTATATATATCATAATTTTATTGTGAATTCGGAGAATAAATAAATCAAATAAAAATAGGCCTTATACTACTGGACCCATCGGTGTTCCGGAACAGTCCTTAAAGTAAAAGAGCTTCAATAGGTCATTTGTTTGTAATGTAATCACATTGAATGCACAAATATTTGTTAAGTTCCTCAATACAAATTATCTCATTCATCTGTTACGAATCGGTGTTCCGGGACGCGGACAGTCCTTAAAGTAACAGTGCTCCAATAAGTCATGTTTGTAATGTAATCACATTGAATGCACAATTCTTTGTTAAGTTCCTCATTAAAAATTAATCCATTCACCTGTTATGAATAACTGTTAGTAGTTCAATAGTCAAAATGCGAATTGCATACATTACGTGTTGTTAGGTAGGGCAAGCCACAATGTGTGTTCATACCTATAGCATCAATTAATGTATGCAATTCGCATTCTGGCTATTGAAATACAAATATTAAATTTGATTTCAATACTTAAATGTTCCCCGCCATGATTTTTAAAGCTCCGATATTTGGTAACAATTATTTATGATTCGGGCAGCGAGTAGCCAGAATATCGATATATTTTGGGTGCCCGATTATATATATTATATATTTACTAGTGTGTTGCTGAAGAAATGACAATCGAATAAAATAAAGTTTGTCCTCGTTGCTCGCAAAATCTAAAGACAGGATTTTTTGGAGTAGTGAGATGCCCGAATATCTTGAACAGGATCTTGAATATTCTCATATTCGGCTTGTGAGGAGCCGAACTATATCACCCTTAAATCTAGTGTATTTTTACTTCAAACTAACATTTTACTATCATAAGAGTGTCATTACTTTGTGCAAGTTCGCTTTGCTACATTGCAATCAAAATTAATAAGGTGTCAGCCACCCCTTCCCCCTCTTGAAAATGTGCCCATCCGTCTATGATAACATTCGAATTGACTTTGAATTGACTTTTTATAATTATTATCATTATCATCAGCATTATTATTATTATTATTATTATTATTATTATTATTATTATTTTATTATTATTATTATTATTATTATTATCGTCATCCTCCTCCTCTTCCTTCTCCTCCTCCTCCTTCTCCTCCTTCTCCTCCTTCTCCTCCTCCTCCTCCTCCTCCTCCTCCTCATCATCATCGTCGTCATTAGTATTATTGTTATTATTATTCATGACCTCAGTCCGTTGACGTGCCGACATGCGATCTGAACAGCACGATGTCGGGTGGGAGCGCAGAGCTCGAACCGGGACTCAGTCGTTACTACATCGTCTTCATCGTCGCCCAGCTCATTCACGGCATCAGCGCATCGGGTTTATATACGCTGGGCTATACGTACATCGATGAGAATTCACCGGTTACCAGAGCGTCCATCTATGTAGGTAAGTACATGCAGAAACCATTTGATGTATTCCTTCAGTGTAAGTTGTTGAGATTTGAGACAACAGGGCATGTGTTAAATTTTTACAAGTCAATCTGAAAAAAAAAATGTGCATGTTTAAATGGAAGAGATGTTCTTTTTATAATTAAACATTATTGGTCGTAGGGGTTGCAAATTTATTTAAAAAATCGGAGGAGGTTCGACAATCGAGCTCTCTGCATAGGTACTCCAAACACAATCGCCTCCTTTAAAAAAGGGCAATTTTTAATAGCCCAGTCCATCACATTTTCAAATGCGCGAACATTAGGCCTTATGAATAAATGATTATAACGTTATCCGAGTATGATTGATTTAGAATATACAACATTGTATTGAGATCGCCATTGGGTTGATTTTTCGAAAGTATTTGCGATCGTGTTTCCATTTGTTTACACTTAATCTTGAATAAAACTTTCCTTTGTAAATTTTACAGCTAATACTCCTAACAGTGTTATTTCACGCATTCTTTTATGAATTCTAATTCCTCGCCTCGTGTTTTAATTTTCCTTTTATTTAGGTATCTTTCAGGCATCCTCTTTATTCGGTCCTGCCTGCGGATATCTGATAGGAGGCCTTATACTCGAAATTTATACTGACCTCGGTGTCGATACGTCACAGTAAGTCCATATTTTTTCCAGTTACAAAAACACAAACACAAACATACAAAACAAAACAAAACGAAACAAAACACACACACACACCAAAAAACAACGACAAGTTACAGGATCATATTTATGTGTTATGACATATGCTCCGGTGACATTTCCTACCTTCAAATCTTCAACCAACATTTAACTAACCCTAACCCCCAAAAGTATCATAAAACTCAACACTAACCAATATAACCACAAATCGTTGACGAAATAAAGCCCGTAATAAAATAAACATACGGAATTTGAAAGAGCTATATAATACATGATATAAGAAATACCACATGAAAGTATATTGGAATACGAAACATAAGATAGGAAATCCGACAGGTTTTAGTAGAATCTATAAAGGTTTTTTTTGTTTCGTTTTTTCCGTTTCTCTCAGGTTAGGTATTACTTCGGAAAGCCCCCTCTGGATTGGAGCGTGGTGGACTGGGTTTATTCTCACCGCCTCCATCGCTTTCCTGGTCGCCTTCCCGCTCATGGCCTTCCCGAGATCGCTGCCAGGTAAGAAAACATTCCAACTACGATGCCGATAAAGGTGATAAGGAGCAATTATTGCCAAGATTAAACGTTGTTTACTTGTAGACAAGTGGCATGGCGTGCGTGGGGGTGGATGGGCATTGGTTTCAGGGGGGGGGGGGGGTTGGCACCAGTCATATTTGGTGAATGAAATGCGTAGTTTACTTTGTAAAAGATTTCGATAAATATTCTTTGTTTTTGTATATACTGGTGCCTTGAAGATAAACCACACTTGTGGATTCTATTTCAATGAATAATTTGAACTTAAATTTATAAAAAAACAGGCCATTCATTAGGGGCAGGGAATGGGTTCTAAAATATTTCAAATTTAAATCGGAACGTGTTTCGGAGGTCATGGATCCATACTTCTCCCTCGAGAACTTTACGTCTCCTTAGTAACTCCTTAGTAAGTTGGGGAGAAATTGGGATTATTAATATGAAATGCCATTTTGACCAGTATGTATATTTGCGCATTTTCTCACTTTTAGGGAAGAAGAAAAAGGTGGAAGTGATATCACAGGCCCAGAAAGGTTCCGAGTTCCAACACCGATCTGGACTCAAGAATAACGTCATGGACTTCCCGAAAGCGATTTGGAACCTTATCAAAAACCTGCCATTTCTTTTCATGAGTATTGGAGTGATTACTGAGTGGTTTCTTCTAACAAGCTTCGCAACGTTTGGACCAAAGTACCTCGAAACGCAGTTTAGCATGACGGCCAGTGATGCCGCTCTCTTAGCTGGTAAGTTCTTGAAAGTAGTAGGTGATCGTGGTGATGGTCATCATACGATCATAGTTATGGAAAACTTGACCGCCATGGTGATAATGATGATGATGATGATAGTGATGATGATGATGATAATGATTGATTTTGATGATGTTTTGGAACGTTTGGACCAAATTACCTGGAAACACAGTTTCTGGAATTGAGCTGACACTTGATGATGATAGTGATGTTAGCAAAAGCCATCATATGATGATCACGACGCCGGTGATATGATATTGCAAACGGTGAAAATGGTGATGTTAATAAGGCAGTGAAGCGAGTGAGGATAATACATGTATATTAATGATGATGATGATTATGAAGATAATAACGACGACCATGATGATGGTTTATGATGATCGCTAATGATGATTGATGAAGCAGACGATGATGATCCAATAATCATTGTGTTGATGACGACGATTACAGTGGTAATGGTAGTGGTCATGAAGACAATTCAGAGTCATGCTCTTAGTTCAGGATCATCATCCCAAGTTCATCCATAATTTTCCAATCCAAAATAACCCCCTATCTGCTACTAATCATGCTTTGCTCCAGGTTATGTCATCATCCCGGCTGGGTTGTCAGGGACCATCGCCGGTGGCATCATCGTCTCCAAGCTGAAGCTTCACTTTAAGGGTATGATCATCATGGCTTTGGTCTGTCTCTTCATCTCTTTACTCTCAATACCATCATTCTTGATCAGCTGTGACAATCCCGCGATGGCCGGCGTCACCGTACAGTACACCAACACGTAAGAATTAAAGTTGTTGTATTGCCCTTTAGGTGCCAAAACATGGGTCGGTCGATCGGATTTTTTCTTCTTTTTGTACTTTTTTTTTTGTTGTACTCCCTCTTTGGGCTGATAGTTCTCAGTTTCGAATGCTTTTAATACATACAACATCTTTTTTTTTGTAAGGCCTTATGGTACAGAGTTTGGATCTAGATTGACATTTTATATATATTATGAAATAGAAATGAAAATGAAATAGAAATTGTATGCGAGGCAAAGCTGCAGGAAGCTGCTATGTAAAACGTTACAGTGGCATACATGCGCCAATTGGTGTAGTGTGGATATATAGGCTTTGATAATATAATGGGGGACAGGGGGTATGGTATGGATTGAGGCCGGGATTGAGGCACCGCCGCACCGGTCTCACACAGTGGATAAAACTTGAATTCATAAGGCCACTGATGAGGGGATTTCGAATTTGGAAAGAGTCTATCGTCATCTTCTCTTTGACGTTGCCTTTATCTTTCTCTTTCTTTCTTGAATATTTTTGTTCTCATAAGTTTTCCCAAATCAATGGGGGGGGGGGGGGGCTCATGCCCCTTGTGCCATCCTGTTTCTACACCACTTCATCCAGCATAGGGTGGAGCCGGCTTAACCCCCCCCCCCCCCCCCCCCCTCCCCATAAAGAAAAACAAAAATTGAGTTGTTAATGAGGTGCGTTTTCAAAAGAAACCTCTATCCATGGACAGCAAACTGGGGTATAATCATGAATATCTATCTGTTCGTCACAGTTCGCTGGTCTTCGAAGGCGGAGAGGCCGTCCTTGATTCCGCGTGCAATGCCGAATGTGGATGTGGATCAGCGTTTGACCCAGTTTGTGGAAGCAACGGTGTCATGTATTACACGCCTTGTCACGCTGGTTGTGACGTCATCAATACAACTTCGAGTGTCAAGGTCAGATTCTTTTGTCGGAGCACTCCTATTCAATTATTGATGTCTATACTCAAATTCAATTCCATACTGAATACTGTATTGTGCAAAACGCAGATAATTGGCAGACATTCCGATCTAGCATGTTATTGAAAGGGATTTCAATACTGCTACAACAGAGTTCCAGTTTCACACTAAACACTGTACTGGGCAAACACAGAAAATATGCCAATTATTGAAAGGGATTTAGGCTTCGAGGAATGGCTATCTTTGTACGACTGACTTTTCACTGGGTTTATTAAACACAGGCTTTAAGCCGTAACGGCTTTCCAGTGACAGTTTTGTGAAATATGTGAATGTAATCAAAATTATACAAAACTTAGAAAGGGGATGCTTATCTAGGAGACTCCTCCTTCGTGTTGGAGGCGGTATTGATAAGAAGGGAAGCATTATTATTAAAGCTTCCTGAAATTCAGCGCTAATGAAAACTACTAATTTCATCATATTTAGAAAATTTTCCATCTAATTTCTTGAATGAAAAATGTTGAACCTTGTTCTCAATGTACATGTTATTTTTTTTTTGACGTGGGGGGGGGGGGGTTAAGTTTGTATGTTTTTTGTACTTGTTTGATTCGTTTTGTTTTTAAAGCATCATATCTAAACAAGCCTTAACACCGATATCCTTCTTATTTTTTTGCAGGCTTACAGTAACTGCTCCTGCATTGAGGCCCCGGACAATGGTCGGCCATCCTCGGCCGTCTCAGGGAAATGTCCACAGGATTGTAACAATCAAATCCTATTTATCGTCCTGTTTTTCGTCATGCTCGCTCTCACACTTATGGCAACGGTACCGGTAACCATGGCAACAATGAGGTGCGTAGAATCCATCTCGTTATGACCTTTTTAAAACACAATATTTAACATCATCATCGCTAAGACGTTCGAGAAATAAATTCAAGGGTAATTTCAATATCCTGTTGCATATCCCGGAGTAAATGTTAGGATTACGTAATGCGTTGTTGTATTGCTCGCACAATTCAAAAGACGGCGGGCAATGCTACTGAAAAAAAGGTTTTTTATTCTTTCTCGAAAGTCTAAGTGATCATGTCATTCTCAATTTTTCAAAGGTTTGCTCTCCAGACAAACTTGCACTGGGTAACGTTATAAGGCCGTATACATTTTAGAATTGTTTTTAGAATTGTGTAAGTTATTATGTATACATTATATTGTTTGAATATTCTAAATGGAAGAAGATAAATGCAAAGTTAAATTTAATTGAATTGCATCATACCATGGGATTCAAAAGTGTTGTCTGAAAGAACAACGAAAGATAATCTCTCTGCTCCAGTATGAAGTTCTTCAAAAGTGGAGATGTCGTAGTATAGGCTGTGTGGTTCGTATTCACATGACTCTCAGATTGAGGGCTCGAAATCATGTCTGACATTAATCCCCCATTGCCACTTTATATTAAGCCACCATGATAAAAGTATATAGGGTTATGGTTATGGTTGCCTGATGGTTATAGATTTCGTTTATGGTTAGGGTTGGATACCGGCGCCTACGCAGGGGGGGGGGGGGGAGGGGGAGGTGTTTTGGGGGTTAAACCCCCCTTCAATTTTTTTTTTCATCACGAAAAAAAATATTACTCACTATACCTCACCCCCCCCCCCCTTCACTGAGCGGAATATCTGCCGGCGCGACTTTCAAAATTTGCAAACACCCCCCCCCCCCTTGGAAAGATTCTGCGTACGCCACTGGTTGGATATAATGCTATTTAGGGCTGAAGTAAGGAATTTGATCGATTGTCACGGGCGCAATAAGGAAAGTACATTTTAAACAAAATGAAAATAACGCTCCAACAACACAATTTCTTTTTTAAATCGCGTTTATCATTGTATGTGTGTTTTTTTTAATACAAATTGCAGGTGTGTATCTCATGAGCAACGGACCTTTGCATTGGGATTCCAGTCCGTCTTATTCAGAGCGTTTGGTATGTAATTTTTTTTTAAGGAAAATCTTTTTCATCTACAAGTGGAAATTATTCCTCTTTTAATTTCTTTATTTGGTATGCAAAATATAATATTTTTTCAACTAGATGTTTGAAGGAATCTTTATTATTTCCATGTTTTCAAAAGAAATTGAAATATCGATATGAAGTTGAACAAACAAACTATGCGCAACAAGATATGTTTATTTATTTCTTGATAGGTGGAGGCACGTCCAACTTATCTAAATACTCGAATTTTGTTTTTTATTGTACCTTTCTTTGTCAAAAGTATGTATCCATCATTTTGTACATTTGCTTTTACTGTTTCATGCTTTGAGAAAAATTGAATCAAGACTTTTTTTGAAGAAAAAAGGAAAGTCCAACCTTAATAGACAACTATAATATAAAGAAAGCAGACAAAAATGGAAGTGGACTGAAGAAAGTTTGAATGTAATCGAACAAAAAAATAAGAGAGTTATGATTTTTAGAAAATATTATTGTAATCAGTATATGGGAACTTGAAATGGGCTGAATCGGAAGTGTTATTGTAACGTTGTGCCGGAAATTTTCCCATTTGTTTCGACACACAAAATTACTAAATTATCAATTTATCAAAATGTATAACTCAGGGGGATCGTATTTAAAACATTCCTAACTCCCATATTATTGGTTTGATTTATTTCAAACTTTCTCCAATCTGTTTTTCTTATTTTTCTGCTTCCATACAAATTAACCGTTACAAAGGTTGGATTGCACTTGAAATACATCTAGATGGAATGAAAGAAGGAGATTTAAAAGCAGTTGCTTAGTTCAAACTCAAACATTAACAATATATTCAACACATTTTACAGAGTTAGAGTAGATGATCCATGAAGCACAGCTTGTAAATTCGGTTACATTTACGAGGAAAAAATATAAGAATTTGAAAGCGAAAGGGATTAATGACAAGATAAAGCTTACATTAAGGAGGATTAATAAGTTCCAATCAAAATATTTCAATTCTTCCGCATTCCTATGATTATACACATTATGCAGGTACCGTCCCAAGTCCAGTAGTTTTCGGGGCCCTTATCGACCAGACCTGCATCCTTTGGGAAGAGGACGACAGCGGCGGGCGGCAATGCTGGCAGTACGACAACGACGCTTTCAGCCGAACCTCACTCATCCTCGCAATGACTCTCCGGTGCGTCTCTCTCGTTTTCCTCGTCATTTGTCTCTGCGTGTACAAGCCCGGCCCTAGCGGCCTGGACCCTGGAGCTGCCGAAGGGGAAACCGCCGTCGAGAGCGCGGAGGAAGCCGCGAGCGGGGAAACTCGGGAAAAAGAAAATGGCTTCCATACAAAATTGTAGAGATGCAGTTAATGAGCATGTGACATGGTACTTGAACTACGACATCCAATAAATTGGTAAACTTTTCTTTCAATGATCTAATTGTTTCCCATGGTGTGTGAATTTTACAATTTTACTATGTACAGTCTGTATCCTATATAGTTTATATAAAGAAGTCTATTCACAGAGAAAACCAGGTGCAAATTTGTTCTTTCGGCCACAGTTTACTTCTTATATCAACTGAGGTTGAAAAAAAAAAGGTTCTTTCCAAGTTTCTTTTTCAACTACAAAAACGTTTGCTCCTTCCAATCTGCATGGAAATAAATATTTTACCATGCCATAAACCTTTAAGATGATTGCTACGATCGGCAGACTTCACATTTCACATGATAATATTCAATCCAAATTTAAATAGATTTTCACAGGCCATGTGTTAAGAGAGAATGATTAATAGCTTCACAGTCTATGTCTTTCCATTGTTTCAATGTATTCAACAGTTGTATTTTTATTTAAATTGAAAATGCATGTATGTTTAATGACATTTTTTTTTATATATCGGCCGTTTTATTTTCTTCTTGTTCAATATCATTTTGTACTCTGGTTCTCTCTCCTCTCTCTCTCTCTCTCTCTCTCTCTCTCTCTCTCTTTGTTTCTCTCTCTCTCTCTCTCTTTGTTTCTCTCCCTCTCTCTATCTCTGCTACCACCTCCCGTTGTCACTTTCTTCTTCTTCTTCTCCTCCTCCTTCTTCTCCTTCTTCTTCTTCTTCTTCTTCTTCTTCTTCTTCTTCTTCTTCTTCTTCTTCTTCTCCTTCTCCTCCTCCTTCTCCTCCTCCTCTTCCTCCTCCCCCTCCTCCTTCTTCTTCTTCTTCTTCTTCTTCTTCTTCTTCTTCTTCTTCTTCTTCTTCTTCGTCGTCGTCGTCGTCGTCGTCGTCGTCGTCTTCTTCTACTACTACTACTACTACTACTTCCTCCTCCTCTCCTTGTTCTTCTTCTCCTCTTTCTTTATTCTTACATTCATTCTCTATTTCTTATTAATCCTTTTTTACTTTTCTGTTTTTTTTTGTTTTTTTTTTTTTTGTTTTTTTTTACTATGGACTATATTGGCAGGCCAATTTACATACATGTAGCTTACTAAGATGTCTTTCATATTTGTTAGCAATTCAGATTGAAATAGAGTATTCTATACATGATTCTTTTCATGAGAGATTGTTGACGGATATTGTACAAAATATATATCATTAAGTACTATATTGAAAAATTAAAGAATCTCTGCCAAATGCAAATAAGATTTTTTGTATTTATTCAGTTCAAACAACAGAATTGAAATATTCTGATATTCTAACTGCAAAATAAATTTGGTGCCTATTCAGAGTAATAATTGTGGGTTGAAGTACTAGCAGCTGTACTATCTATTGTATTCACCATTAGTTATTAGCAGTCATGTAAATAATATTTGAATTTATTGTTCCATAATCGTTTGTTGTAACTTCGTAGAAAAATCATTGTGCCTTGAATAAGAGGTCCGTAAGCAATGGTGTAAGTAATATTTGAATTTATTTTTCCATAATCTTTTGTTGTAAATTTGTAGAAAAATAAAAGTGCCTTCCATTCAGTGATACAATATAATACGACTTGTCGGAACTCGGCAAGCTGATTTGTTTAGAAAGACCCCCTCCCACCCCCACATAACCTATGATTTGGCATAGAACCTTTTTGTTCTTGTCAGCTGGAAGTTTAGTCATGGACGAGGTGACCCTTACCAAATTTTCAAGACATCTTTGGCCGGGAGGAAAATATACTTCAGAGGTTTCCCTACCTCCCCCCCCCCCCCCCCCCCCCTCCCGAGTGACCCTTTTTAGGGATGTTACCATTGTGTCATTTTGTCGGTAGTGTACACTCCCCGAATTTCAAATCATGACGACCTTTAAAGATTCAACCTTGACACGACCTCTAAAGATTCAACCTTGACACGACCTTTAAAGATTCAACCTTGACACGAACGTTAAAAATGTACATGTATTCATTTAGTATAGGTCTATATCAAACATGTCATATGCATAGATTTATTTGTATATACAGATAATTATATAGTGCTTTGTTCATATTGCCTAAGCAGAAACAAAGGAGAAAATTGCTCTACCTCACTTCCAAAACCAATGATAATTTTTCACGATTGAAGGCTTTCGAAAACGCCATGTTTATAGCCTTACCATAGAGCTATATACTACTAACACTTATTAATATATATCTCTATGAGCCTTACTCAAAAGGCTGTTGATATATTCTTCGTCAAAATGTCGAACTCACTAACAGAGTGTTTTAGAGGGATTAAGGAAAAGGGGAAGGAAAGGAAGAGAAGAGAAAATCTACAGAGAATGCCAATTCGTAATTTGTACTTTCTTAAACCTTTTCCTTGATTCCGTGATTTCATTGGCTGAAGGTTTTTCAATAACTAGGGATAAACCAGTTGTTCTTCCTTGTTTCTTGGCTCTAATTTTGCCACGACAGTTCCATTTTGTCGTATGTAAATAATAAGAAGTACTAGTATAATTGTATACATTCCACGTTGAAGCACCAAATTATAATGATTTTATATTTCAAAATATGTATATCCATAAGAGTCAAGTAATTTATATGAGAAACGTAAAATGAAAGAACAGACATGATTATATGAATGTATATTAGGGTCATGTATATGATCTTTACATGCTTCTTTTTAAAATATTATGCAATAAATTCAGTAACAGATGGAGACAGCTTTCGAAAGTTTTGCGTTTTATTTTTCATTAGCTCCTTCAATTCGTGTGAGGAATTTTCCTGATTATATTTGGATGTGAATTTGGAAGTATAAGTTCATTGGGGTGAACTGTGCTAAACGTATGTCGGGGAAAATATACTGCATTAAGGGAGGGAGGGGGGAAAGAGTGAGAAAAGGTGAAAAGAATATAGAGAGGGGATAAGGGAGAGAATTAAATAAAGACGGAAAGAAAGAGAGAGAGAGAGAGAGAGAGAGAGAGAGAGAGAGAGAGGAATAGAGAGTAAACGTCAGAGAAAAAAATAACTCTCTTTTAGGCTGTTTGATCATGAGTCATGTTTATTTGTTTAGATTTATTGTTTCTCGTTGCGGTAACCATACAGTGCGTCCTAGAAAAAACGAAACCAAGAATTATCGATGTTTTATCATAACTTAATCGCAATATAATTAATGAATGACACGTATTTGTAAAGCTTATATGCTCCTCTTTCATTTGATGCAACTCATATGTATATTATTTAACAAACATTAAAACAATTTGAAGAGAGGGTACCAAAAAGTCATTTGGCCGGCGGTATCTGAATTTCAAAGAGAAAATCACTTTTCTAGAAAGTTCATTTTCTGCCCTTTTATGATTATGACACCTCAATCAGGAAAAATGAGCCAGGAATAACAAAGTTCTGTTTGTTTAAAGTACTGCTTGCATTTCTATAATTTGGTTAAACGAATTCGTTTTCACTGGCTGCCTGACGTAGCAACAAACAGAGCTGACAAAAGACTTAACTCCGTTTCGTTGACGATCAGTCATGCAATCGAAAGAGATGAGCTTCTAGCGGAGTTTTTTTTTCCTACGGATAAGTTCTGTAGCTGAAAGTACAGATATTATTTTCGGATGAGCGGCGCTGTAGGCCTACATTCATGGAAAATGGAGAAATCGATAAATATCTGAAGAGAAATTGAACAATGAAAAAGGAAACCAAGTATTAAAAAATGAGTCGCAATTTTCCAAGAAATATTTCTTTATTCTTTTAATGTTTAATGTTACTGAGACAATTTAACTTACTGCAACACCCCATTTTCAAAGATCACTCTAGCAAAGACCTTCATGAACCTACTCAAGGGCAACCCTGCATTGTACCCTCTGAAATCTGAAATATACCTGCAGAAATCATGTTCGGGTTATGCAACATGTCGCAAAGCTAGTTTTCCATGAAATCGAAACCGGGCTGACCAGATTAAACTTATAAAAAAGCAGAAACACGAAGTTGCAAACCATCCAGAGACTCCTAATAAATTGCGTTACTGACTAATTAATTATATCATTACAAATCTTTATTCTCAGTTTTCTTATGTATAACTGATTTTCTTATAAAACTGAAGATATGGCGTATATATTCAATACTGAATGAACGCCATTAAACTCTTACCAAAAACAATAACATATCGCGCTTTTTTCCGCACAGGGCCTAATTTTACTGAGGTTGCATTGGGGTTGATGTATGTCTTTGCGATTGGGTCGACTGTCGAGTAGCTATAATTGTTGCGTATAATGTGAAATTGAATTCATTTGGGCTTGTAATGACCAGGCGATGCAAAATGCAATGTATAAATTTTTTTTTTTTTTTTTTTTTTTTTTAAGTGAGAAAATTACAAGAGAATTAAGAAAGAAAAGGGGCACGGCAGTTGGAGAATATACACAGAAGAGAGAAAAAGAAAAGGGGATTGAAAGGGACAGACAGAGAGAGGGGAGAGAGAGAGAGAGGGGGAGCTCAGACGCGGCCACATAGATGAATAAAGGAGAGAAAAGGGATGGAAGAAAGAAAGGAAGGAAGTTTGAAAGAAAGAAAAATACATACAGCCAAAGAGAGAAAAAGAGAGAGAAAAAGAGAGAAAAAAAGAGAAAAAAGAGAGAAAAAGAGAGAAAAGAAGAAAAAGAAGAAAAAGAAAAAGAAAGAAAAGAAAGAAAGAAAAAAAAGCAATGGAAAAACGAAAGAAAAAAGTAATAATCAACCGGTTATATCTTTCTTTCCTTTCTTTTTCTGTCTTATATCTTCTTTCTTTGCGCCTCCGGGAGATCGAGAGGCTTGCATAGCCATTGAAGATAGAGGGGAAGAGCTCGCCAAATTGAACTGCGCAAGCGCAGTGCAGTAAGAGAGTTGACCCTTTCATGTCTACTATTACTTCCGCCTAAAAATAATAATAAGAAAGTAAACAAATATACGAGATCCGTAAAGATGGAGTAAGAGGCGATCACACAAGGTCCGAACGTTAAATTCGTTTCTAAATACAACTCAATGTCAATATACTATGGCCCTAATAGTAACGACAAACTGAAATAACATCATGTACCAGCCACCACCGCATCCGAATTTGCCATATGGTAAGTTATTTCCATCATTTTGATTGAGGAATGGATGGTTTCCAATCGTGAATGAGAGAGACGAATGTCTAGCAGCTGATTGCATGCGCTGTACACACACGGTGAGCTGTGTGGGTTGATGATACATAGTGAGGTCATTCATTGGTAGCTTGTTTGATGAATGGTGTGCATATGCATGCGTGTTGATCTATTGTATTCTGTATGATGATGGATGCAAATACTTTAATTAATAGTTGCCGGTACTGGAAGCAGATAGATCAAAATTCAGATGATTTATTGTAAAATACAAAGTAACAACTAACATTAACAAAGAGATTCAGCAGTTCATAATCATAGTTTAGGAAAGATTTCCTTTTCGACAGCTAGCCACCCAAATTTAAGAAAATAAATATTGGGTAGGGACTAAACCCTACAGCTTATAAATAGAATGATTATGATATCTAATAAGATAGATAAAACATGATAACATAGGGTTAGCGTTAGCAGCTTAGCGCCGGGTAAGGCCTAAGGGCCAAGGGTTAGATTTTAGGTGACTGTCTTGGATCTTGGATTCTTTTCCTCCTAAATACTCTGAAGAAGAGTTTTGACTGGAGGTGGTGGAAGGTGGACGATTACATTTTGGAAAAACAGTTCTTTAGTAGGGTCTAACTGCATTTTTAAATGAGAGCGGGGAGGTTTGGTCGATGGTTGCTTGTTGTAGGTTGTTCCATGTCTTTACAGTCCTTGGGAAATATGAGTTGGCATAGACATCCGAGTTGGTGTGGCGAATTTCAAATTGGTTAAAGTGTCCTCGTCTACGTCTGTCTGGCTTAGGGTTGGTGTGAGATTGGTAGTCCCTTTATCATTTTGTCAAGTTGTCCCTTTATCATTTTGAAGAGGCAGGTAAGACGGTGTGCTTCCCTTCTGTCGCAAAAGAAATCTTTTATATTCATGATTGATATAATTTATTTCATGAAACCCTTTTTTTTTTGCTTCGGTTAAACTCAAATTCAAATATTTAACTCAAAATGGCAAAAAAACAATTGATATATCTGTAGTGGATTACAAAGGGATTCCTATTAATTTGATCATGCATATGGGGAATTCTTTAATAAAACTGATATTTGTCAACCTTCCCCATAGCCAAACACAGACGGTACCTGTTACGGCTTGCGCACAAGGGGCCAGAGGGATGGGGGGGGGGGGGGGGGGGAGATACTAGCGATTTTTTAGTTTATCAGTTTGATATCTACAAAATATGATTGGAAGGAAAATCAATTTACTTTACTTTCAAATTAACATGGAAAATCATTGTAAAACATCAAAATATAGATTTATTTTTCATATACTTTCAAAATAACATGGAAAATCATTGTAAAACACCAAAATATAGCGACTTACTTTCAGCTAATTTGCCTGTTTTCTTGAGAAAAACTGCCGTGATCAGATCGGCAATCACACACAACTGTATTGCAAAACCTCGCCTCACTTGCCCATACCATGTTCTTCAGTCTCTGTATCTATAGAGGCGATCAGTGGAGGCAGATGCAGTTTCAGCAGAACAACCGTCGATATCACAGACTGGAACGTACCTTTCAGTCTAGTTTACTGCTAGTCTAAAGAATTGAACTTACAGGATTGTAGTAAGATCTAGTGCTAATAGTGCATACTTAAACTCTTGATTACATCAGATCTTCTTCATTAATTGTATGCAACCATGCAAGAAACGAAAATGAAGAAAATCTAGGATGTTTAATGTAACTTTGTGTTCACTTCTTATGTTGCCACTTACGTTGTTTCTTTTTTTGATAAGAACGGTGCTAGGGGGAGTAAGAATTGGGCCCAGTTTTGATTTCAAAGGGCAATACAACTTTTTTAGCAAGTTGCAGATGAAAAAAAAAGAAAAGCAGAATAGTCAATGAATAACTCATACAATGAAAATGTGCAGCATTAACCTCTAACATTGAACTCTTTGATGACACCAGGTTGTCTTCTTCATTGATTGTATGCTGAGAAACTAAATGAAGGACATCTTGAATGTTTGATAAAAGTTAATGTTCACTTCTATGCAAAAAAAAGGGAAAAGAACAAAGACCAAAACAGCAACAAAAAGAACCGATAGATGTGCATGCCCTTTACACACCTTTCGATTGCCATGCAACTACATTGTAGCCTATAGGTCATGGCTTGCTCTAAAAAAAAAGGCTCTGTTTTGACATTCTTAGCCAATACAAGTATTGTCTATAGATATTCCCTTTGTAATGTCTGGGTTTTCCCCAGTGCTACCTTGATTGCCATACTTCCAAGTTTGGCAAATGGCCAGTTGAATGGTATTGCATGGATATTTTGAATGTGAAGATTTATGATTGCCTGTGTCTGATGTGAATGTCCCCGAGTCCTACTCATCTTACAAGGATCCTGACATGATGTCATCCAATGATTTACGCAAATCAGGTGTGTAGACCAGTATTTTTTTTATTTAAAGCTTGCCTGCTTATTGGCTGTACATCATGATTGTACTGTTCGGATGAGCCACATGTTTGACATCGCATCGCAGAGTGCAGGCAGAATTGAAGATGTGGGCAAGTTGTGTGGATAGTTTGAGGGCAACAATGTCTCATTGTCTCACAACAACAACAACAACCACTGTGCTATTGTTTATCCACATGTTTTAACTATCATTTGTGTAATTGTGTACCCCTACTTTGACCAATGTGAGATACATGTAGATCGTCCCTATTTTCACGAAGTGACGGTAGTGAGAAAAATCGTAACGCAAAGTGAATGCAATTTTTTTTCACTACCGTCACTTCGTGAAAACAGCGACGAGATGTGTGATACTGATAGTCTTATTATGTCAATAAGTACATGTACATGTATGTTCTTCACTTTTGACAATCAGTTCAGTAAAATAATCATTTTCAAATTACGAAGAAGCGTACATGTATAGATTATGAACTCAGTTTTGTGTATTTGTTTGATTTTTTTTCCTACTTTGATTGAGGAAGGAAATGATTTGCTCTCGTAAACCCTTAAGACATGTAGAGCCATGTACATATGAAACCAATCTCCTTTTTCTCATCTGATAATCATAAACAGTACATTCTATTGATTTCATGTACAGATGTGTACAAACAATGTTGATACAACAATGTACTGTACATGTCACTCAGCAAAATATGTTTTTATTGTCTACCTGTAGAATAAAAATGAGCTGTGTTCTGAATATGTTTATTCACCTCATACAGGTTTATATATAAGCTACCTTCAATCTGAGGCACACTTTCCACATTAAGTTGTTTACAACAACCTAAAGTTCCTGATCTAGCAACAGATCATGCATGCACACTGTTAGTTTTTAAACAATTATTTTGTACAGTCATTTTTCTCTAATTGATTTTAGATGTTAGAGTAAAAGAAACAGCTTCCATGCATCTTAGAAAAATTGTCTTAGCTTCATGTATTGAAATGAAGGTGGCATGAGGAGTAAAGCCTGTGAACATTTCAAAATCAATGAAATGTAAACTAATATCTCAAAAGTTTGCTTCAGTTTTGTGATACTTTGATGTGAAACATTTCTCAAAAAGTATAACTAGTACCGGTACTACAAAAGGGCAAGTCGAAGTTATTTACTTTTTGACATTTCCTCACAGTCATGACACTAACCTCAAACCAAAAAATGTACTTCATTTTATCTTTCTGTCCATTCTTTGATTTACTCTGATGAGTGCAAGACAAAGGGCTTTAGTTCAAATAGTATGGCTGTAATCACTGCTTTGTTTTAAATTTTGTACACGTAGTAACCTCAAACCATAACAGACAGTGCTATATCAAACACATTTGACTAAGGAAAGCTGGGTTTTCCCCAATTCTAATTGGCCAATGAACTGTGAAGTCCGATGGCTTTAAGCCCATTACCGGTAGTAAAGAATGAACAATAAACTAATTATTGTGTCATGAAATCTTACTTGTGATGCATAGTTTTTTGTAAACCTTGTGCCATGGGCCTTAAGCCTTTGATAGGGCTCATGGTGTGTCAGATGTTATGTTTCATGTTGTTGGTACTATAATGACCATTTTACCTTAAATGGTTTTAATTTTCTAATTTGAAAGGCAACCAATTGCTCACACAATGTACATACTTTTCAAACGTGCTTGCATGAAAATAGCACTCTTTATTTTGTTTTGCATTTAACTCTATGCAATTTTTGGGGCCTCGTTTATGACTTTCGGGGGCTATTTTTGGCATTTCGGGGGACTAGTTCACCCTGAGCCCCCCGTGTATTTTTTCCCCTGGTATATAGTCTTGATGTTTCACTTATTGCACAGGCAGAAAGAAAATTTCTGAACTGTGATTACCGGTAAACAAAATTATAACAATGAATGAACAAAACTAACTCAATAATTCATGTGTGGATTGTGAGTATCAATGGATTTTTTATGTGAATAGCAGTTTGATGATGATTAGCCATGCGAACTGTGCTAGTACGAAAGACGGTAGATGTGGGATATGAAATCAAGTGTGTAATCCCATATGTAAATTGGTACACAAACAGTGTGAATGGGTCCTAATTTGCAGCAGTAATTTTTTTAAACTATACTTTCTGTAAATTGTTCCTGCAATGTGAGGCAAGGTGCTTGAATGAAAAATGTAATGTTTTGTATTAATCCATTAATTATATATTCCCAAGGTTGAGTTTATTTATGAAATTTCAGAATACAATAAGTAATGGTTTTCTCTGCTTTTCTTTTCCTTTTTTTTTTCCTCAACAATACAGTGTATACTTTTTAAGGGGTTGACGTTCATAAGGCTAATTGCCTTTTTGTTAACCCCACATTCCCATAACATTTTGTTTGCTCCTTCCATTTGTATTTTTCTTGTAATCAATCTTTTATCTGTATATCATGTTTGTATGTTTAATGTTTTTTATGGAGAATGTAATAAATGAAATGAAATGTTATTTTTATTTTCATCTAAATTTGAAGTCTTTTATAATTCCCCAATAGGAGCGCCACCATTCCCCCAGGCACCTATCCAGCGCCCGCAAGCCGGTCAGCCCCCTCGCCAGCAGGCCATCCCCGGCCCCGCTCCTATACAGCAGCAGACTGCCACCACCCTCCAGGGGCAGACTACCCTCCCGCCCATCACCGCAGGCGGGCCACCCGGTCCACCTGCCCCTGCTGCTCCTCCAGGGGGGCCAGGGGGCCCTCAGCCTCCCCGGTCTGACCTGGTGGCCCTGCCGTCCAGGCCGGGGTTCGGAGAGGACGGTCGTCCCATCGTGCTGAGGGCTAATCACTTCCAGGTCAAGATACCGTCGATTGAAATCTTTCATTATGACGTCACCATCACTCCTGATAAATGCCCTCGTAGGGTGAATAGGTAATTTATCTCTTCCTTCTGTCTTTCTTTTTGATTTGAAAAAGTAAAGCAATCATAATTTATCAAGAAAGCTTTAAATACAGGCCGGCTTAGTTTAACTTTACCCTTGAATTGCACTTTGAAATATCATCTTGCTTGAAGTGTTTGCTAAAACTTTGGTCTTGGAATAGAGCGGCAGAAATTTACACAATACATGTAAATGTTTTTTCTGGTATGTCAATAAATGTATATTGATCACTAAACCAATTTCCATCATTAATTAGTGCAGAGGGTAAGCTAGACAATTTTTTTTTTTACTAAAATGTCATTTTTGTGTTATACAAAATCATTTGTTTGTTTCATTTTTATTGAAAAGGAAAATTGATTCTTCCCTAAGTTCTCTATTATACTAAACATTGATTTCTTTAAATTTACAATAAGAGGTTTTCTTGCATTCTAAAAGAAAAATCACAAACTTGTCAACTCATCTGACCACCCTGTCAAAATGTCTGATACATGTAAGGCCTCTCCTCATCAGACTGATTAGACCGAAGTTGCAAAATAACTTGCTATTTTCAGACTCTGGATATTTTCCTGAAGCTCAAAATTGCGTCTTCACAAGACTGATATGCTCATCAAAAACTGGCTCGGACGGGCGCAAATTAGCCGCTATTTCCCAAATAGCGGTCTATTTTTTAAACAAGACCAAGATTTCTCAGGATATTTTCTCAACCTAATAGCAGGCTAATTGCAACTGTGGGCTGATGAAAACGCAAATTAGCTGGTTAATTTGAGATCGGGCCAGTTAAAATAGCGGGTTATTTTGCAACTTAACCCTATTTTAACTGGGCTATTTCAGACCAGGTTTTTACTGGGGGGGGGGGGGTCAATTTGACCCCCCCCCTAAGATCTCAGCCGTTTCACCGCCGATCGCCACGAAAATTTGCATGCATGTCAAGTGAAGTGTATAAAATACTATGGTAATTTCAAATTTTTGAAAAATTCACTCATTTGCATATTTATGGTAATTTATGCAAATAAGGTCATCAAATTCACATTTCTGCCCATGATGAAGACAGGCCCATTTTACCTGGGATATTTGTTGGTCATTCCCTCAGTCTGAAGGCGTCAATATTATTACTTACGGTAGTCTTTCTTTTCGTTACTAGGGATGTGATTGACACATTGGTGAATGCATACAAGGCCAGATACTTCCAGAACAATCTTCCAGTGTTTGACGGGAGGAGGAACATGTACACCAAGGAGCAGCTACCTCTTGAAAATGAAAGGGTAAGTCCTTTTTGTGTGTCTGTGTCTTTTCTTTTTTTTTAGATGAAAACATTAACATCCTCTGTTGTATTTTTCTGTGTTTATTTTTTATCTATAACATGTTTATCATTTTGCTTTTCTGAGACCTTTTTTTACATTTTGTATGTTTCGGTGGTCCTTATTTTTGAAGCATTCTTTCTCCCTTTCTCTCTCTTTCTCTCTCTCTCTCTCTCTCTCTCTTTCTCCCCCCCCCCTTTTCTCTCCCTCTCTCTCTCTCTCTCTCTTTCAGTCTCTGTCTTTCTCTCTTTTACTCTATCTGCAAAATTCCTTTTTAGTTTTTATACATATTTGACCTGCAGTGTATCTACATTGAACATAAATATTTTGTTTCTACCAAGAAAATAAAAGAAAACAGAAATTAACTACTCAATATAAAAATCATACATTCAGATATAGGTGAGAGAATAGATGAGTTAAGTATGTAATATAATCTTCTTTATCTAATCCCCTTATTGTTACAAGTGTTTTTGATATGATCGTCAGTGACATGAAATGAAATGTCTCCCTCGTAGGTTGAACTTGAAGCTACATTGCCTGGCGAGGGGAAGGACAGGGTTTTCAAGACTCAGATCCGATACGTCGGGAAAGTGAGTCTGTCCCTGCTGGAGTCTGCGCTGAAGGGAGAGGTCGAGCACATGCCATACGATGCAATACAAGCGTTGGATGTTATCATGAGACATCTCCCATCAATGAGGTAAGACACCCCTCTGCAGCAGAATGGAGTTGACCCTCCTGTGTATTGATTATGGGTACATTGAGGAAGTACCATTTTTTGACAGGGAGTTTAAGACTCAGATTCATTACAGAATCTGCACTGAATCATGAGACATCTCCCATCAATGAGGTAAGACACCCCTCTGCAAGAGAATGGAGTTGACCCTCCTGTGTATCGAGTGTGGGTACATTGTACATTAAGGAAGTACCATTTTTACTGAGGGTATGGTAAAAATGTAATCTGGTGGGGGTAAGAGAAAGGTTTTTAAAAGACTCAGATTTGTTACAGAATCTGCACTGAATCATGAGACATCTCCTTTCAGCAAGGCACCACACCCCTCTGCAGCAGAATGGAGTTGATCCTCTTCAATGATATGTGTGTGATGAATTGGGAAAGTAGCATTTTTACTTTATTAGAGTAGGATAAAATGTTACCTTATCAGGGAGTGGATAGAGTGATCAATACTCAGATCAGAAATGCACTTAAAGAAGTCTGATATCTCCCACCAATGAGGTATAAGACACCCCTCTTCAACAGAATGGAATTGACCCTCTTTTAGAGTAACTTATTCTTTTATGAATTGTTCAGAATAGAATCATGTCATTCTTTTTAGGAATTTATTGATCTTTAATTGATCAAAATAGATATCTGAAAGATTGACTCTTTTTACAATGTCTAACTCTTGCATACCTGAAAAAAAAGCTTTACTGAATACATATATATGTATATTTCTATATATATTGAAATCTTTATTAAAAATCAACTTAATCATTCGCTGAAGTCTGTTCCCTTGTTGAGTGCAAGTGGTGCTCAAGCAGGTACATGTACTAGAGTGACTTTGATTAAAGTAAAGCGGAGTACCGGTATGCGTTCTTATAGCAGGTAGCTGTGCTATACAAATTCATCAAACAGGTGACTCGTGTTCCTAAGACCTGTATTTTCCATCTCTGATCTCTGTCCCCGCCGTCTTCCTTTTCCAGGTATACTCCGGTAGGGCGATCTTTCTTCTCGCCCCCAGAGGAATACTTCCATCCCCTCGGTGGCGGTAGAGAGGTGTGGTTTGGATTCCATCAGAGTGTCAGGCCCTCCATGTGGAAAATGATGCTCAACATAGATGGTATGTGAATGCTTCTTACAGTATTAGGACAATGACGATTCCTTTTATTATTTTGATTTTATTGGATGCTATCAGTTTCAGTGTTATTACAGCTTGTAATCATGAAACAATTATATATTTGTCGCATTACCATTGTCTTCATTATCAATACACATGTTTAATATAATCTGATCATTATCTGTAATCATATGATAGTGAATGGAATTGAGGGATATATGAGACTAAATTCCCCAAGTTATAATTATATTGCCCAAAGCCATGTAATTTAGTTTAAAATATTTTAAACTGATATCTGTGTATATTTCGTAGTAAAAATGTAGTACCGGGGTAGCTCACTTTACAGAAAAGTCAGAAATAAAAGTACTCTTTACTTCTGTATCCTTTAATAGGGCATGGAAGAAAACCAGAATTTTCACATTGTCTGATTGAATAGATTAAAAAGGTCTCATCTTATTTCTGCACTGAAGTAGATGATGCAGGCTTGATCTCTTTGCAGTTTTCTATGACAATATTAATAGGCTATTGACCAAATGGAATATTGATAAAAACTAGCCTATTTACATGTATCATATTGATTTTGTATTGATTTTATTGATTTTCAATTTTGACTACAGTATCGGCGACTGCATTTTACAATGCTCAGTCCGTCATAGACTTCCTGTGTGAGGTCTTGGATATCCAGAACATCTCAGAACAACGGCGCCCTCTATCGGACTCGCAGAGGGTAAAGTTCACCAAAGAGATCAAAGGTGAGGGGATACCTTTAGACCTATAGAGTTTTAATGATATTTCAAAATATATAATGTCATGGTTCTAAGACTATTGTACTTTTAACTTGTAAATACATGTACTTTTCAATTGTATTCCAATGGGAATTACATAGTAAGACTGCGACGATGGAATTTTTATTTGATATATATAATTCTGAAGAAGAAGAAAATTATACACAATTAATATTTGAATATTGATAAGTCATAATATGTGAGGTCCCAAATGTTTCATTTCAAGGAGGTTGTTAGTGGTAGTAGAAGAGAAATCAGCCTGAAACATGTCTTTAAGTACCATCTCATTTTGCTTCATGTGCATCATAAGATTAAGGTTCTCAAGCATTGAAGAAAATAAATGACAGAATTATTAAAGTAGACATACATGAATACTTTTTTAAAACTACGTAAATATTTAACTTTTTCTTTTCTTTTCATGATAATAACTTGTATTTGATGATAAAATTGTGAAATTTCTCCGTTGACATATCATTTTATTATTCAGAGGGAGCTATGCAGATGTAGGCAATCAATATTTGAACAGTTAAATTTTGTTTTTAAATGTTAAATTTTACACCTAGGTTCTTTTTCGCTTCCAGGCCTAAAAATTGAAATAACGCACTGTGGAAACATGAGGCGGAAATATAGAGTGTGCAATGTGACCAAGAGACCTGCTCAAACCCAAACGTGAGTTTTTTTAAATAATTTTACAACTGCTCTTACGAGGTCCTACAAGAGGCAAACGTACCAGAGGGTCGCCATGATTTGCATGGATTGGTTAGAGAAAGATGTCTTGTTTTTAACAAGCTGGATCTCTGAAAGTTCTTGGAGAAGAGTTTTCAAATTCAAGGCAAATATGCGCAATCAATATTGTGTTGGGTCATACTAGGATTAAAATGTTATCAGTTCTAAGTCTTACTGTTGCAAAGGGAAATAACAGTTTATATATATTTTTTCTTAAAATATATATATTGCAGTTTAAGAATTGTACAAATTCTTTTTTAGCAGTGTTATTTCACATTTATATCAAAGACATTTGCAGCTTGGATTTGCGGAAGATATGACACATTAAAAAAGCTATGTAGCAAATTTGCCCTAACTTTCTTGATTTCATGAGTTAAAAGTGTGTGAAATTCTGATAATGTTGCATTTCTTGTTTTTAAGATGTCATTATCAAGTTTTAAATGCATGACTATGGGATGTTAATGAAGTCATGGTTTCAGCACAAAAAGAGTAGCTTGGTATATATGTAGATTAAGAAAGTAGTGACTTTATCACAACTTTGGGTATTAAATTATGTGTTCTAGTGTTTTCTTGTTACAGTTAAAGTGTATTTCTTTGTTTTCCCAAGTGTAACACAAATAAAATTATATCTGCTTTTAATGGTAACCACCTGTTTAGAAAGACTACCTGTCTTCAAAAATATATAAAAAATATAATATTTTTTTAGAACAGTATTTTCCATTGAAACATGTATGAAGGGGACCTGTATAGGAATTCTTTGTGTGTTCATAAAGACTGCTTTTTTTTGCTCCCTTTGGGCAATCTGTACACACATGTTTCACTGTAGGAAGAAATATCATCAAGTTGAAAGCACTATTGTATCTTTTTTTTTTTTGTTTATTTTAATGTAATAATAGATTCCCTTGGCAGCTTGAGAATGGGCAGACTGTGGAGTGTACAGTGGCCAAATACTTCAAAGAAAGGCATAACAGAATCTTGCAGTAAGTTAACGTAATGAATTTTGATTTACCAAACAATTCGGCAAACTTAACATCAGATTTTAGGAAGCAAGGGGGTCTATGTGTGATTTGTTTGTCTCTTATATTTTAATGCCTCCGCTACAAAGTAGCCGGAGGCATTATGTTTTCTGGTTGTCCGTCCGTCCGTACGTCCCGTTCTCATGATCGCGTTATCTCAAGAACCAATTGATGGATTCTCTCTAAACTTGGATCATGTATGTATCTTGCAGAGCCAATGAACTGATTAGATTTTGGGGTCACGAGGTCGAAGGTCAAAGGTCACAGGGCTCATTATGTATTCAAAAATAGCTTGTGATCGCGTTATCTCAAGAACCGATCGATGGATTCGTGCCAAACTTGGGTCATGTATGTATCTAACAGAGCCAATGGACTGATTAGATTTTGGGGTCACGAGGTCAAAGGTCACAGGGCTCATTATGTCTACAAAAATAGCTCGTGATCGCGTTATCTCAAGAACCGGTCAATGGATTCCTGCCAAACTTGGGTCATGTATGTATCTAACAGAGCCAATGAACTGATTATATTTTGGGGTCACGAGGTCAAAGGTCACAGGGCTCATTATGTATGCACAAATAGCTTGTGATCGCATTATAATGAGAACCAATAGACAGATTACTATCAAACTCAAGACATGTATATATGTATCTTGCAGAGCCAATTAACTGATTAGATTTAGGGTCATCAGGTCAAAGGTCATGGGGCTCATTATGTATGACTATAAATAGCTTGTGAATGCATTATTATTAAAACCGACAGATGGATTACAATCAAACTTGAATTTTAAAAATTGCTTCCGTTTTGGTTTGTAAAGTTGCTCTATGGCGGAGGCATCATTTTTGACTGCGCGCAGTCAAAATTCCATCTAGTTTGATGCTCCCTCAGCAATTGCCTGCCCCCCCCCCCTCTCCATTGTAACTTTGGTAATATCAATATTTGATTGGAAAAACATCACCTCATACTCAAACAGTGACGCGGTCTATTATATAATTTGTGTAGCTTATCTGTAACTCTGATTATTATTAACAAATTTATACTTTCACTGTAATAAAATTATAGAACATTCTTCTTGCTTTGCTTCAATAATCACAAAATGTAAAAACATGATTTGAAATTTGAGCAAGAAATATCAGTCCCCCATCGCCACCACCACCACCACCACCACACATACCCTCTGCCTGTTTATTTTCTGCCTGTACATGTATGTAAACAAGTTGCACTTTGAAAGATTAATTGCCATTTTTTACCCCCCCCCTTTTTTTTTCTTAGATACCCTCATCTCCCCTGTCTGCAGGTTGGACAGGAGCAGCGCCACACCTACCTACCTCTGGAGGTATGTAACACCCCTCTTAAACAATGGACCATTCCAGTTTCACTGTAGTAAATAGTTTGTATAGATTATACCATTGAGGGAGTATAGAGTACCGAAGCAGTGAAGTTATCAAAATTCTATTTTTAGAATTTCTTCATTTTTTCTTCATTTTCCAAAAAAGCATTGGTATTCGACATTTGGACAATATTTTTGATGCTTTTTTGGAAAATGAAGAAAAACTTGAGAAATTCTAAAAATAGAATTTTGATGACGTCACACTTCACCACTCTCTAGGTGTGTGTTTTTTAGATCCCTTTCCATAGGTAGCATCACACCTTTCTATGTCTGGAGGTATGCAATACCCCTTTTAAACAATGCATCATTCCAGTATCACTCATTAATAATTCCTACCAGTAATCAAATCAGAGGATTTATGATTCTGAATGTTAAAGGAAATTTAGATAAATGGTCAGGCAAACTTGAAGAGGCCTGCATGTTACAACTAAGTTCTGAGTTGGAAATGTGCAGGTATACATTTTATACATTAAAGATAAACTTGAGTTCTGGTAAAAAAGAAAATGAATTTGCACAGAATCTAATGAAACTTACACTGAATGTTCAAGGTTACAAATAAATGTCATGTGCCAAACAATTTTGGAAGAAAATTTATACTGGCTGAGTAATGAGCATAGAAAGATAAGGAAATCAGGGTAGTACTAGCCCGGACTCCTTGTGTGTTGTCCCATATACCTCTTTCTGTGTAAGTGATTGTTACTTTACCAAGACTCTGCCAAATTTATGATGATTTTGATGACTCCAGAACCTTGCATTACACACCATTACTTATATGCTATATGATCAACTTTTCTGATCCATTCCACACATTTTCTTTCACAATACAATCGCATTACCAGAACTCAAGTTTATCTTAAAGATATTTTAAGACATTTGGTTTTGTTTATGCTTTTGGGAAGAGATGCATGTAGCTTCTAAATTTGAGACCTTGGTAAGAAAATATAACTGTTAATATGACTTTTTGTTTCTCACTGTTGTAATATGAGATGCAGAAGTTAAAAAGTATTTTATCTGATTATTCATAATAGCAGAGAAATACTGTGTGAATACAAATGTAATTTATAAACCACCAAAGTACTAGGGCTATTGGATGCTGATTTTTTAGGAATATTTCTAATTATTTTCCTGACAGGTTTGCAACATCGTTGCTGGGCAGCGCTGTATCAAGAAACTGACGGATATGCAGACCTCCACAATGATCAAGGTTTGATTAACTTGAACCCTTTGAGAATATGTTGAATCATGCCTATTTGAATTACATGATGAACCAAAAGAAAGTGAATGACTTTGAATCTTTTCCTGATAATGTTGTTAAAATTCCAGGGTATCATGAGTTATGTTGCTTGAGAATGTGACATATTAATTCAACCACTCCATCTTTCATTCTTGAGTTACAAAAACAAACAAAAAATTACAAGGGATATGAATAATTCAGTTATAAGTGTATGTACAGATATTCATTTAACTGTAGTCTAAAGAGAGAGAGAGAGGGGGGTAATGGACAAGCCAGTAAGAAGCTAAAAAGCTATCTTTGGTGACCACAAGTAAACAAATATCTGCAATCGTTGAAAAGAAGTTTGTAGCACAGTGTTGTAAATAATTTTTGTGATTTTCTTTTTCTTCATTAGGCCACTGCAAGGTCTGCCCCTGATCGAGAAAAGGAGATCAAGAATTTGGTAAGTGCAAGATGAGAATGTTAAACAGGAATATGTAAAACGTCTTGTGGTGTAGTTTTTATAGAATGTTGACCCTTACAGTGCCCATCAAGTTTACAAAGTGCATCAGAAATACAATTTTATTTACATTTGTAATTGTTTATCTTGATACAGATTATATTCCATAATAGCAAACATCAATTTAACAAACCTGTATGAAATATAAAAGAGACAGGCACGCTTTACTGTGTCCAGAAATTTTAGTTATCACATCTGGGGAGGTCTAAACTACCTGCAGTTTTAAGTTTGAAAGATGGTGCCAATCATTTTCATCAGAATTTCTAGATATTTGAGTCACTCTTTTTTTCTTAGTTGCCATAAACCTACTTAAGCCCCACTGCATTACTTAAAGCTACTTGCGCCCTATATACAGCCAACAATGCCTAAGCGGAATCCCATTGATCCTCTTTTTCTTATGTTAATTGAGAGCTGAGTTGATGAGATAAACACCTGTGATCACGCCAGGTGGTCTAATCCCTCCTGGCCAAACTAGTACAGAGGGGCTTTAAATGGAGTTTTTGTCAATCTGTCAAATATTACAATCTGTTCCATGGACACGTAAGTATATCATCGGTCATGCTTCAATGTGCTCGTACTTCCTACATAGGTGCATAAAGCCAACTTCAACAATGACCGCTACGTCCGACAGTTTGGTCTGAGTATCAGTAATGACATGGTCACCATAGAGGGCAGAGTTCTACCCGCTCCGAAGATCCAGTACGGCGGAAAGGTAGCTATATATTAAGGATGAGCCTCCTAATTGTAGTTTACAGTGTCGGAGCAAATCGTGTCAAATCTGCTTGAGAAAATCTCAATGTTGGCAAATTCAGAATTATAGTATAAAGATGGCAGCAGTAGATGGCAGGTTCAAATCTCGCTGGTTCCAAGATTTTCTGACTTGTTTTTCAATTACAGATCAATCAATCAATCTTATTTACTGGGTGTAAGCCACAAATATGTTTAAACAATTGAAATTTTCTCCCATGAAGTATTACATTTATTAAAAAACAGAATCATAGAGTTTGGGTGTTTTTATGTCTATAGATGTCGCAGCAAAACAAGACTCAGGCAATCCCTGCCCAAGGGGTATGGGACATGAGAGGCAAGCAGTTCCATACTGGTGTCGAGATCCGAGTCTGGGCCATCGCCTGCTTCGCACCACAGCACCAGTGTAGGGAAGAAGCTCTCAGGTAAGGAGGCAATTATTATATAAATTTTTATAATTATCAGTTTCAGTTTCAGTTTTATTTTTCATTACCAACAGGAATTTTTACAAGAAATCAGATATACAATTCAATATTCAATAATATTATACCTTTTACATGGTTTAAAGTTATGAAATAGAAAGTATACATGTACATAAATGTCCACTATAATTGTTTTTAAAAGTTTGTTGATAAACCTGTGGAAATGGAGGGATTCACTGAAAAGCAGAGCTTTGTGTTCATATCTACTTTCCATCCATGAAATAGCCACAAAGATTGTTGCTTTTTTATGGATATGCCACCAATAGTGCCAGATATGAACAGGTACTGCCAGATAATGCAGTATTTTGTTCTTGCTATTTCAGGGCTAGTTTCGCAACTCTTTATCCTTCTAGGACTTGTGAAAGATACACAGCTGTTGATGCATACAACATTTTCAAAGGAAACATAAAATCATTACTTGACAAAGCCCTAAGGGGGAAAACAAAATCGTAAAACAATTTATATGTGTACAGAGGATCATTATTTCTTGTATTTTCGTGTAATTGGTAACGATATCTGGTAGATCTGAACAGTATCTGCAAAATAGCTGTAACATTTATGGCTTGTGCAGTGAAACGACATCTTGTTTTTAAAGCGCCCTTCAACTCTTTCCCAAACTATGCAAAACTTGTGATACTTCATACTTCAAAATCTAAATTACTTTTTATGCTGGTATGGTGTGTTCTAACATTGCAGTTTTTATTCCCAATCCATAGCTCATGAACATGATTCAGGGACCTGTTTCACAAAGCCTCTTTTCAATGCATCAATGACACATGAAGAAAAAAAAATCAGTGACAAATCTGCTGATAACCAATCTGAAGCAAGGATTTCAGTAGCTTATAACAAAATCTGTCATTTGTCACTGATGACAAGTTTTGTGAAACGCCCCCCTGATTTAATTTGACCATCCCTTGTGTGATCTCTAAAATTCCTTTGATGATCCATTTCTGCAGGACGTTCACAGCACAGCTCCAGAAGATCTCCAACGATGCGGGGATGCCCATCATGGGACAGCCGTGCTTCTGCAAGTACGCCGTGGGCGCCGATCAGGTGGAACCCATGTTCAGGCACCTCAAGTCAACGTACAAAGGACTGCAGCTGATCGTGGTGGTGCTGCCTGGTAAAACCCCTGTCTATGGTGAGTTAATTTGCTGGTGTTGGTGATGAAAGGGATGGTGATGAAGGTGGTGGCGGTGGTGGTGGTGGTGGCGGTGGATATAATGATGATTATGATGCTGATGCGACGATGATAATGAGGATAATGATGTTGATAATGATGTTGATGATCATCATCATGTTTTTGGACAAAGAAAGCTTGCTGTTCTTGACATTAAAAAGTGGTTTCATTTCTTTGTAAAAAGTTAAATACAGAGATTACTGTTAACAAACAATACGGTAATGAAAAACCAGTTATTGGGACACAAAATATATTCATGAAGCAGGTATGAAAAATTAGACACCTCTGTAGCAATCACCAAGCCATTAATTGTTGTTGTTTGTTTTTAAGGTTTTATATTTGTATACATATGTTCATAATTTCAACCTATTTATCATTCTTATTTATCCTATATTACTCCTAAGCAATATGTTTTAAATGTCTAATCGTGTGCAATTTGATCTTTGCAATACGATATCAGTTTCTGTCTCTTTAAAAACAAAAACAATTATATATGTAGTATTTAACTGATCCATATTCATAATGCTCTTAAGTATTTATTATTATTCCATACTTCATTTTACTTCTACACAATATGGAATACGCATTTGTCTTAAATTCATAATTATTACCCATTCTACATTATGTTTGTTCTCTATTGTTTATTGTTTTAAAGTTTGATTATGTAATATTTAACGTAAATACATAATATTTTGTTAACTTATTTATAATCTTGTTATACTTTTTGTTTTTACTTTATATATATATATATATTATACAGTTATTGACTGGCAGGGGGTGTAATATAACATTATTTGGACCGCTGAAGGGAGTTATATTTCCCAAGTGGTTATATTTTCCCGAAGCGCGCAGCGCTGAGGGAAAATATGGTCACGAGGGAAAATATAACTCCCTTCAGGTCCAAAGAATGTTATATACCCCCTGCCAGTCAATAACTGTTATATTAGATAGCCTTGGGTTTTTTTTTTTGTGGGGGGGGGGGGGGGTCCATATTTTTTTTAGCCCGAATTTTTTTTTTTTTTTTTTTCGGAGACAATCAAAATTACGGAAAAAAAATAAAAAAATTGGGGTTAAAAAAAAAAAAAAAAAAAAAAAATTAGCATTAGCAAAAAAAACAGCATTTTTCGGGAAACAAAAAAAAATTATTAAAAAAAAAAATTTACCCAAAAAAGCATTTTTTGGGGAAAAAAAAAATGTGGAAAAAAAAATTTCTTGGGAAAAAAAAAAATTCATGAAAAAAAAATATTGAAAAAATAAAATGGCCCTTGATAATGGTGTAATGTATGTAGTTGGTGACATACAGTCCTCAAGAGGGCGACATGCATTGATTAAAAATATATTCATTTCACCAGCCGGTAAAATATAACACTGAAAAGTGACCGGCCAGGAAAATATAACAATTTGGATCCTCGCAATTGATATCACGTGACGAGCTCTGGACCAATCACATCTCGGTATCTGTCTAAGCTATCTAATATATATATATATGCAAACAGATTATGATGAGAATTACTTATTTCAATTGTGAATTTGTTAGTGTTATATTACTTTTGTTTATATGTCATGATTATGTTTTTTTTTTATTGACACGGCCCTGATTGAAACCAGTCTGCGAACTGTTTCGGGCTTTTACTGTGTATAAATAAATAAACTCAAACTCAATACAACTAATTTTTGATATTTCCACAGCTGAAGTGAAGCGAGTTGGTGACACTCTGCTGGGTATAGCCACACAGTGTGTACAAGTCAAGAATGTGAACAGAACCACGGCACAAACCCTCTCCAATCTCTGCCTCAAGATCAACGTCAAACTGGGTGGTATCAACAATATCCTGGTTCCCAATATAAGGTACGTGTACGCCTGTATTGAAGGTTTTTACAGAATGTAAACCTCCACCCCCTCTGCCTGCATTTTTACATGTATACCGTATTTGCCGGTGATAAGGCCGCAGCGCCGCATTGGCCGCACCCCCAACTTTGAACAAAAATAAAAACAAAACAAACAGACCAAACAAAATAATCGTAATTTTCTCGTAGAACACAATTTTTTCTCCAAACTTATACCAAATTCATCAATATTCTTATAAATTTACAGGAAGTTTACCTAAAAAAAGATCGTAATTTAGCAAATCTTCATTGATTTTTAAGCTAGTACTGGTATCCTACATTTACCCCTACCACAATGTGCGGTTTAATACGAAAATGTGACTTCAGCTGGATGCGCACTTGCGCATTTGCGTTGTGTGGCAGCTAGCTCCGTAATGGTAGGTCTAGATCTACCGGTAGATGTCAACAATGTCAACAATGCAACATAAAATTGTTGGTAAGATGTGTGGAGTTTTTCTAGAAATGTCCTGTACCATTGTATAGTCATTGTAGTCCCATATGTCCGAATGGACGTGCTGTTTTGACAGCTGAATTTTTAGTTGTTGCGCAAAGGCCGCACCCAGACTTTTTGATATTTTCTCTTCCAAAAATACTGCGGCCTTTACGCCTGCAAATATGGTAAGCACCTCCCTCCCCTTAGGTCTTGATGGAGGCTCAGGTTTAGGGGAGAACCCTCCACTTCCACAGACATCAAGTTAACCGGAGGCCCTGTGTGTAGGGGAGTCATACCCTAGGCATGTTAATGTGCTACACTTCTCACAAAGAGTAGGGTGTTAATCCGTTGTTTAGTGTGCCTACAATACGCAACTGGTAATCTTCATTCAGATCCTTGGGATAGCCTGGATAGCCCTTTGCAGATTACAAGTAAAAGTACAAGAAGAAGAAGCCTTATCAAATCTTATCCAATGGGTTTGACTCTTTCAGTGGGGCCGGTTCTTGACTATGCTAATGTAATGTAAACTGTAGTGATTTGAAAGTTCTTGTATCACATCCAATAGTCGAAATTAGCTGTAACAGTTTCAATGTCTAGAGTTTAGACGTCTTTCTCAGACACAGCTTACTTCAGTCTGCAATTCATGTTTGAGTAAGATGTCTGAACTCTAGACATCGAAACTACTACAAGTACTACAAGTACTTTTTACTATTCGATGTGATATAAGAACTTTCAAACCAGTATCATCCAGAAACTTTTCCATATACTTTTTTTGTTCAGACCTCGTGTCTTTGCTGAGCCGGTCATCTTCCTTGGAGCAGATGTCACTCACCCGCCGGCCGGAGATGACAAGAAACCTTCCATTGCTGCCGTAAGTTCTTGACAAAACTTTTCCAAAATCAAATTTAATTTCTTCCTGAACAATCTGTTTCAACTGAATGTCGATCCCAAGGAACGCCTAGTTGAATATAAGCTACCCTGCATATAAACTTACATTTTCATTTATATGATATAGTAGTATATGTTATCTATTTGATTTTCAAGTATAATGGTTGATGGTCATTACAGTCCCTCCCCCCTCCCAAGAAAAAAATGGTCTTGTTTCTTACATAATTTTGGAGCTTTGTGTAAAATGTGGCCAAGAATCAGTGGTTGTGGAGTCACTTTGGAGTCGCTTTGGTGTCAGTTTGGCAGTATGGCTGAGGTGTCAAGTGGAAATTTACTCTACCACCTTTTGCAAAACGACCTTAAAGGGATCCGGTAACTTTGTCTCAGATTCTGAAACAAAATCCTGGATTTAGCTCATGCTGCAATGATAATTATAAACCTTTAGGTCAGCCAGGAAACCCACGACTTTTACAAGCCGATCGCCTGTCTGATTATCAAGATATTTATGATTGGAAATTGAAACCAAATTTTGCTTTTTCATAACAGTTTTCATAACACTACAGTCTATTGGAGTATGGTAAAACCGGTCACTCAAAGATTTGTACTTTGTTGAGGCCCTTCTTGATCATTTTGAAGCACAACTTTTTTAGGGCTTCAATAAACAAAATCTGTGCGTTCTCCTGACAGGTTGTGGGTAGTATGGACGGCCATCCAAGCCGTTATTGTGCCAGTGTGCGAGTCCAGAATCACCGGGTGGAGATCATCCAGGACCTGATGGGAATGGTCAGGGAACTCCTGATGGAATTCTATCGGTCAACCAGATTTAAACCGGCCAGGATCATCATGTACAGGGATGGGGTCAGCGAAGGACAATTCTTACAGGTGGGTATTGAAGTGGACTGTGCGAAGCGCAAGTTTGCTGCCTGATGTCGATAACGAAACATCAAATGTTTCATTGTGACTTTGTGTAGATAAAGACCAATTCTGGTCATACGATTGCATTGTGAAAGAAACGTGGAATTGATCAGAAAAGGTTGATTGTCTAGCATATAAGTATTTGTGTATACTGTAAGGTTCTGGAATCATCAAAATGATAAGAAATTTGGCCCAGTCTTGGTAAAGTTACAAGCACTTTACACAGAAAGATGTATATGGGACTACCCGGACCAAATATATTAATTAGTAGGAGGTTTCCCGGGAAATATTCTTTCACATGATTGGTAATAAGAGCTTCCATTTCATTTTTTGAGAGGGGCATTTCCAAAACTGGTCTATATCTTTAAGATGATCAGCATTCAGATGAATACTTTGCCTGTGTTTATGATGTATAGTTAAAGTTTTGTTGGTATTCAGGTCTGCAACATGTGGATGCTGTATTATTATCTAGGGCCTCTCGCATAAAAAAAAATGTTAGTGATTAATTGATTGAAGTAAGAAAACAAAACTTAAATCCTTAACAAGCGCTCTTGCTTACTTGAAAGTCAATTTGTGTCTACCGGTAGTCACAAATTGAATGTGTAAGGGCTTAGAATATATTATGGTGGAAAATGTTTGGGTTGATATTCAACTTCTTTTCTTTTTCAAAACTAGGTGCTAGCTCAAGAGATGACCGCAATCCGTAATGCCTGCCGCTCCTTGGAAGACTTCTATGAGCCTGGTATCACGTTCATTGTGGTTCAGAAGAGACATCATACCAGACTCTTCTGTGCTGAGAGAAGAGAACAGGTAAGTGGAAAGATAGAGGGATAGATGGATTGATTGATTGAGGGATGGGAGGATGGAAGAAGGTTACGAGCCTGGTATCACGTTCATCGTGGTTCAGAAGAGACATCATACCAGGCTCTTCTGTGCTGAGAGAAGAGAACAGGTTAGTGGAAAGATAGAGGGATAGATGGATTGATTGATTGAGGGATGGGAGGATGGAAGAAGGTTACGAGCCTGGTATCACGTTCATTGTGGTTCAGAAGAGACATCATATCAGGCTCTTCTGTGCTGAGAGAAGAGAACAGGTTAGTGGAAAGATAGAGGGATGGATGGAAGAAATGAATGAGAAGTGAAGAACAGAAATAAATACAGTAATGAAGATAATATGGACATTTTTCAGTTGCCAAGCAAAACATTTTGAGATTTGTATTTAGTAAAAGAAAGAAAAAAAATTGTACTATGAATCTATCCCTTTATCTTGTTCTCCACTCTTCCTCTTTTTTCACCTTCCTTTCTTTTTCAATTTGTCTCTCCCATACTCTGTCCTCTTTGAGTTTCTCTCTCTCTCTCTCTCTCTCTCTCTTTACCTCTCCCCTCCCTCCCTCTTTTCTCTTAGTATATATCTCTCCCCCTCTTTCTCTCTCCCTCTCTTTTTCTCTTTGTCTATATATCTATCTCTTCCCCATCTTTCTCTCTCTCTCTTTCTATGTGTCTCTCCCACAAACTCTTCCTCTTCCCCTCTCTCTCTCTCTCTCTCTCTCTCTCTTTCTCTCTCTGTGTTTCTGTATGTCTCATTGTTGTTTTGTCTCTCTGTAGATTGGAAGGAGTGGTAACATCCCAGCAGGTACTACAGTAGACAGCGGCATCACCCATCCTCTTGAGTTTGATTTCTTCCTCTGCAGTCACGCCGGTATACAGGTATGGTCAATCTGAGAAATATGCTCATCTGCATTTTTGTCGTGAAATTTGCGATCAATTAGAAACTTTGAAAAATGCTGATTTACTGGAGAAATATTTAACCCATTGCCTTTGGAAACCGGGTGGTCCCTGTATTGAGCCTATGGCAATTAAAGAATTCAGTGTTCAACAGTTTGTTAAAATTGCTCTGGATTTATAGAAGGGTTGATACGTCTTTAAATGCCTATCAGTTAATTTTTGCCCAGTCATTTGATTAATGTACGCACGTATGTACCATCTCCACTCCTTAGGGTTTATTCCTACCATATGGTCATCGTGTGGACATATCGTAAATTAAAGTACAAAGTGGCTTTCAACATCATACCAGGGCCAAATTCATATCTTGGTGACTAAGTTGCGGGAGTGTGGGAATGTTTTGCCTAAGATGAGGCTTTGGCTGGGATTTGAACCTAGGTCCTTTGGTCTAAACTCTAATGACTTATCCACTACACCACGATAATCGCATCCATTCTCTTTCTCCACTTGTCCAGGGCACCAGTCGACCCTCTCACTACCACGTCCTCTGGGACGACAACCGCTTCAAGGCTGACGAACTCCAGTGTCTAACCTACCAGCTGTGCCACACCTACGTACGCTGCACCCGTAGCGTGTCCATCCCCGCCCCCGCCTACTACGCCCACCTGGTGGCCTTCCGTGCCAGATACCATCTGGTAGAGAAGGACCACGATAGATACGACCATGACAGGTAAGCTCCGAGACTGCCACAAACATTCTGTCTGTTGAGAGCAGTAAGGGCGTTTATTCTGTCTTTAATGATTGGTATCAATGCCCTTTTTGCTCTCAGCATACACTTTGTTTGCTTGCTGGCTTGCTAACTTAGGTTTGCTTTGCTTGCCACCCCAGCCTTCCCCTGCTTTGATTAGCTTGGCTTTTTTTGCTTTTGTCAGCTTTTTTTCCATGCCAATTGTCAAGAATGTATGATATATTTCTTGTACTTAAGGATCAATCTCATACCACTCTGCCAAGAGCTTAAATAAGAGTAGCTCTCCATTGCTTTTGTATCTTGTTTTGTTATGCCTCCGCCACCGAAGGTGGTGCCGGAGGCATCATGTTTTCGGGTTGTCCGTCCGTACGTCCGTCCGTCCGTACGTCCGTCCGTCCGTACGTCCGTCCGTCCGTACGTCCGTCCGTCCGTACATCCGTCCGTCCGTCCCGTTTGACCGTTATCACAATATCTCAAGAACCATTTAAGATTTAAACTTAAGACTCGGGAATAGTATTTATCACCATAGGAAGACGATCTGATTAGATTTTGGAGTACGTAGGTCAAAGGTCACAGGTCACAGAGGTCAACTTATGAAATTCCTTGTATTGAGTTTGTTAGCGCGATATCTCAAGAACCATTTGAGATTTAAACTTCAAACTTAAGATAGTATGTATCACCATAGGAAGACGATCTGATTAGATTTTGGAGCACGTATGTCAAAGGTCAAGGGTCACAGAGGTCAACTTATGAAATTCCATACATTGAGATTGTTATCATGATATCTCAAGAACCACTGGAGATTTAAACTTCAAACTTAGTGATAGTGTGTATCACTATAGGAAAAGAATCTGATTACATTTTGGGTCACGAGGTCAAAGGTCAAAGGTCACAGGGCTCATTATGTATGCAAAAACAGCTTGTGATCGCGTTATCTGAAGAACCGATTGATGGATTCCTGCCAAACTTTGGTCATGTATGTATCTTGCAGAGCTGATGAACCGATTAGATTTTGGGGTCACGAGGTCAAAGGTCAAAGGTCACAGGGCTCATTATGTATGCAAAAACAGCTTGTGATCGCGTTATCTGAAGAACCGATTGATGGATTCCTGCCAAACTTTGGTCATGTATGTATCTTGCAAAGCCAATGAACTGATTAGATTTTGGGGTCACGAGGTCAAAGGTCACAGCGCACATTGTGTATGCAAAAACAGCTCGTGATCGCCTTATCTCAAGAACCGATTGATGGATTCCTGCCAAACTTAGGTCATGTATGTTACTTGCAGAGCTGATGAACTGATTAGATTTTGGGGTCATGAGGTATTAAAAGGTCAAGGTCATGCGGCTCATTATGTATGCAAAAATAGCTTGTGATCGTATTATCATTAGAACAGATTGATGGATTCCTGCCAAACTTAGATCATTTATATATCTTGCAGAGCCAATGAATGGTTCATAAGATCAAAGGTCATGGGCTCATTATGTATGCAAAAATAGCTTGTGGACGCATTCTCATTAGAACTGACAGATGGATTACTACTTAACTCAGGAAATCTTGCAGAGCCAATGAACTGAGTAGATTTTAGGGTCATGAGGTCAAAGATCAAAGGGTCATATATGTATATGAGAAATTGCTTGTAATCACGATATTCTGAGAACATGTTAATGGATTACAATTGAACTTGAATTTGAAAAATTTCTTCCGTTTCGGTTTGTAAAATTGCTCTATGACGGAGGCATCATTTTCGACTGCGCGCAGTCGAATTCCATCTAGTTTTGCTTGCTCCAATCTGCCAATATACGGGAAAAATATCTGCTTGCCCATGCTGGTTCAAGTTTTGAAGTGTTATTTATTTGTTTATTTATTTCAATTTCCATAGAAAACATACGATACATAAAACAAAAGTCAAAATATAATGCTCCTCCTCCTCCGCCTCCTCCGCCTCTTCCTCTTCTGCCTCTTCCTCTTCCTCCTCCTCCGCCTCCTCCTCCTCCTCCTCCTCCTCCTCCCTCCTCCTCCTCCTCCTTTCTCCTCCTCCTCCTTTCTCCTCCTCCTCCTCCTCCTCCTCCTCCTCCTCCTCCTCCTCCTTTCTCCTCCTCCTCCTTTCTCCTCCTCCTCCTCCTCCTCCTCCTCCTCCTCCTCCTCCTCCTCCTCCTCCTCCTCCTCTTTCTTCTTCTCTTTCTCCTTTGATAGTGTGTTTTACATTTTAGCTAGTAGATGTGTTTCTGTACTTCTTTGCATTTATATAGATTGTTTATAGTGTGTTTTTTCCCACGCATTCTGCAATTTTTTGTTATTATTCATACAAAGTAGGCTATGTATTGTAGTGCTGTGGTAGAGGACTTGAGTATTTCGCTTACAATGCAGATAAATAGCTGTATGTATTGTAAAAAGAGGAGTGAATTGCACTAGCATTGTTGTTTTGGCATTTATTAGTAGTTGCAGCAGCAGCAGCAGCAGTCGTAGTAGTAGTAGTAGTAGTAGTAGTAGTAGTAGTAGTAGTAGTAGTAGTAGTAGTAGCAGTAGTCATAGTCGTAGTAGTCGTACCTGTCAAAGTAGCAGCATTATTACCATTTGTAGAATACCAATGATATAGTTTATTGTAACTTTTATATAGCTAAAAGTCTGCATTGGGTCAAAAGGCTTGTAGTAACTCTATTTTGGAGTGAAAAAAAAATATAATAGCAAGAGCATGAAGTTTGGCAGGAAAATTGTAATGTCGTGGCCATCTGAAGAAGACGCTTACGTATATGTAGATGTAACGTTGATTATATGAGACTACTGGAAATTTCATTTTTTAATATATTTGTATATTCATTTATTTATTTCTCCTTCTGGCGACCTGCTTATAAATTTGAAAGTGCCTTGTTTAAACAAAAATGAATTGATTTTCAAATAAGCGAACAAATTCAATAGATTTTGTCCATGTACACGTTGTGTATTTTATTGTATGAAGTTATTTGGATGATGGTGATTTGTCAAATTACCAAATGTAGCTTCATCAAAAACTGTTCTTCCTGACAATATCTCTTCTTACTTTGAGATAATAAATGTTATTTATTCTTTTTCATATTTGAGCCTATTTTTGTAAACTTAATTGAGTTTACAGATACATGATGAATGTTTTAAATGCTTGCATGTTACTTCATTGGCAAATCAAATGCTGATATTTCATGAAGCAAAATCATCAAAAAATATCCTTTTTTTAGTATGTATATTTTTGCTGTTTATTGACGCTTTGTTTTTTATTCATCACTTTTATTTTTGCAGCCATCAGTCAGGCACAAATAGCAAGTGAGTGACAAATGTGAACAGATTTTTTTGCTTTATTCTTTTTTCTTCAATATTTTGTTTGTTGAAGGGATACATATACATGTATGCTAGGTAGATTTACTCATAGGATGGGATGTGATTGTAGAAAACATGAATTAAAAAAACATTATTTTTATTTTCATCATGAAAGAATGAACATTTCTTTTTCTTCCAAAAAGCACAGACATTGCCTCTCCTGTAAAAAAAATTGCCACAAAGCATGATCATGCCACAAAGCAACCCAAAGGATATTTATAAATTAGTGCTGTACACTTTGAAAAAGAATGTATGCACTATAATCAGCACAAACATTGCATCAAGCTGACTGTGCGGCATCAGTACACTGTACTATGCTGTTCAATTGCATTGCTCTTGCTTTAAAGATGTCATGCAGAAAAGAATCACTTTGTTCATATCACTGCAATCATAATTTTAAACCTTTAGGTCAGTCAGTAATCTTATGACTTTTACAAGCCAATCGCAGAATGTTTGATTATCAAGATATTTGTGATTGTGTGATTGGAATTTGAAATTTCAAAAACCGTTTTCCCAACGGTTTTTATAACACTACAGTCTTTTGGGGAAAATGAGTACCGGTATGGTAATACCCGTCACTCTAAGATTTTTACTTTTTTTAAGTACTTCATAATCGTTTTGAAGCGCAATTTGTTAGGGCTTCAAAGAACACCATATGACACACTGATAACACGTAGAGCCGTGCATCTCAGATTTTTAAAACTGGAAACAATGTTAAACAATGCCTTTAACAAAATATTTCATTATTTTTTTTTTTTGCTTCTCTCTTGATTTTAACCATTTGCCTCTGAGAAAAGACAATGTCAGCATTTTGACTACCAAGCACCAAGAATACCCAGTTTCAAAACCCATTTGAAAGGTCATCAGTTGAAATTTGGGGAAAGAAGGGTGTTGTAAACTCTGTTTAGAATAATTTGCACAATCTTAGTTCTGAGCAGTTGATATGTTAAACTGAAATCAAATTTCCAACAACAGACTATCCCAAATAACCCACCACATAAGTGACCCTTATCCTACCCCTTACCCTGATGTTTACCCTGACCTTGACCCTATCGGAAATCCTAACCCTAAGTTGGATGCGTCATGCTCCCATGTGTATTCCTTGGGGGTGTTTCACAAAGATCCTAAGTCAAAATTAACTCTAAGTTGGACTTATACATTATGGAATGCCAATTGTAGCCATAAAATAAATTATATTCAAAAGCAAAAAATTCTAGTATTTTATAAATTCCACATTGAGAACATGAAATCTCTTTGATAATAGAAAATATGAATGATTGGAATCAACATTATATGTCTTTTAAAATAACTTTTACAAAATATTTTCAAAGATGCTAATGGCTTTCCATAATTGTTAAGTCCAACTTAGAGATAAGTTTTGTTTTGTTTTATTTCCACTTTTTCATATCAATACAAAGAAACTTACAAATAAATATAATGAATATCATGTAAGATTGACAAAATTTGTTTCTACTTAAAATAAAAGTTTCATACAAAAGGAAAAAAGCAGGAGACCACATGTCGTAAGCGTAATTGCTCGAAGATGACCGTGGCCTCTGCCGACTAAGGATCTTTGTAAAACATCCCCTGGTGGGGTTTTTTGCAGTTAAAACAAAAACTTGTCAATGTTTTGATTTTTCCCTTTTTTTCGATTCCTTTTCTTTCTTTGTCTATAGTGGTGGTGATGGTAGCAGCCACCACGGGGCCAGCAGCTACGGGCGGAGCTTTGAGGACATGATACGGGCCGTCAAAGTGCACGATGACACCCTCAAGGTCATGTACTTTGCATGAGAGGTCAGGGGTCATTCCTTTATGCTGCATGGTAAGCCGGGTATGGAGGTGGAGGAGACATCTTGAAAATAAAATAAACCATCGTCAAATCAGAAGGTTTTGGTAGTTTTTTCTGTGAATATTTCAGAGCTACAGTAGACACATTGACGATATTTCGCTTCTTTTTTTACCTCCAAACTAAAAAAGAGAACGCTGTGAGCCTCTTCATCTTCATCTTCATATAGAACGTGCAGGGTTCAAAGGTCATCCTGAATGACCTGTGTTCGCTTAGGGTCAGAAATTGTGATGTGGTACAGTAATACCAGGTAAATTGTCTAATGACGGGTCAGATTTTACCACCAATGTAGAGGAATTTTGCACCTTGATTAAATGATTAAAATAACATTCAGTCTAAAGAGATATTTGCTCTCAGTATTGTTTCGACTAGGATCATTCTGTTTCATGACCTGTATTTTTAAAGGGCCACTCTAACCAAAACAGGCTTAAAAAATGAAAAAAAGACATGTAGAACAATTTTTGACGGAGATTCCGAACATGATAATGATTTTTCTCAGAAATCATCAATAATTCTGGAATCTAGCTTTAAAAATGACGTCTTAGAACGCTCAGAAAAAAGCCCAGTTTCGGTGATGACGCATATGACATCACTGCAGGTGCCTCTCCGGTGAAAAGGAGGGTGATTTAATAGGCATTAAAATGTCTTTGAAAAAGCAAACTACGAAATTAATTGAAGAAAAAAAAACATTTATCTGAAATATAATATGCACTTGATACTCCCAGTATGTTTCTGATACTCCCAGTATGTTTCTGGCAATTTCGTCATTCCTAAATATGAAATTATCAAATCGGACATGGTTGCAATGACGTCAAATGCGTCATCAAGCCATGTGACCGTATTACCTTTTTTTCGAGGGGTGTAGCCCAGCAAGCGTGAGAACTGAAAAATGGATGGTTATTATCATTTTTTTGCTACTGCCCAGAAGGTCATCACTGTGACGAAAGAGGTAAATTTAGAGATTTTCTGAAAAATCAGAGGCTGGAATATTAATAAGTAGAGGTCTATTCATGTTTTGAAAGGCTATGTTAGTTGGGTTAGAGTGGCCCTTTAAGTATGAACACTACTTTTCTATCCAGTTTGTGTTTTACACACAAATATTGGTAATTCCTAGGTATCTAATGAGCGGTAGCTTTTTATGTATGGATTTCAAGCGTCATGCTGCATTTATAGTCGGACAAATTTCGAGATTTTAATGTCTCATTTTAATCGTTTAATGTTATACATTGATGGTTGAAGGACACATGCTTCATGAGCAATCAATCTGGAGTCTATTTCTAAGACTAATCCAAATCCTAACTTCAACGCTGGATCCAACACTATACCTAACACTAATCCTTATCTCAATCCTAACCTAAGATTTGAATACAACCTAAGCCATAAACCATTATCTCTTGATAAAATAAAGCCTAGAGCAAACGTCTGATCACTGCAATGATCCGCGGGAGCATGAGCTGCGCTCTGGGATGCTGGATGGTGATGGTGATGGTGATGGTGATGGTGATGGTGATGGTGATGGTGATGGTGATTTCAAGAAAAGATGGTTATTTTTATCTGAGGTAGTGTGAGCATTAAAGAGAGAGAAAACAGTTAGAGTTACTTGATTTATTTATTTCAACCAGTCTATTCTAAACAGCTGATGGCTGCATCAGTAGATAAAGAAATGATTTGTAAATACATGTTTTTAATCGTGATCCTCGTGTGACCTTCTTTGAATATTAGACGTAGAGAGTAAAGCACAAATTTTTATATGTATTTTCCATGGTATAGATAATTTATTTGATTATATACATGTATGTGCATCTTTTGGAGAAAACTACATATCAATCGCTATTTTTTAGAAAGCTTGAAGTCGTATATAAGAGTTTGTAAGTGTATATTGTGCCATTGAGTGCTTATGAATAACTTAGAATGCGCGAGTGTGTACTAGAAACAAGTAAGCAGGGGCCAGCGTAGATAGAGTCTTTTAGAATCTCTTTGTCATGATGTCATGTGATCATCATGTGATCATTCAGATCACCTGATACATGTACATGTGATCCAACCTCTGTTGATGTACTTGCCATTGTTGACCTTATGACTTCTTTATTTTTAAGAAATTTGTTGTTACTGTAAAAGAAACCCTTACAGAAAAGTGAGAAAATGACTCAGTTTTAACATTGCAGAAACCTTCTTATCTGCTGCATTTTTAACTCAACTGAATAACGAATGCAATATTTGTATTGACAGTACCACAAGCTTACAATGTATGTGTTAACCCATAGCTACGTGAACTGGGTCGTCCCTGTGTTAAGTCTATTGGGAACGAGAAAAATCAGTGGTGCTGTGGATGTTTAGAAAATATTATGCGGGGAATGTATGTACACGGCAGAAAACACATGGAACTCCTCTGCTAATCATGGCCTAAAACAGACATAAACTGATGTAGATCCTTGTCATGGGAAGGTCATCGGTAAGCTTGTTTGACACGTTGATGAAAAAGAAATTTAAAGTTATTGTCATTCACCAAATTTAGAGAAGAGAAATGGAAACTTTATAAAGTAGATACCTGTATGTAGTCGCTTAATTCAAAAGGATAAGAATGGTTTGAAGAAAAAAGATGTGGATATTGTGGAAGAGAGAGAGAGGGAGAGAGATGTGCGGTGATGAGAATGCCTTGATTTCTTTTTTAAAGAAAGATTGTTTTTGTTATATTTATTTTTAAGATTTTAGAGTCAAAGACTTGGAATATTTGATGGGATATGAATATTCATATGAGTAATCTAAGCTTACTTTTGTATAAGGACCATAAATGGAGCCCCTTTCTACGCAATTTAAATACCGGTATTAAAGATTAAAGTTGAGTGCAATATCAAATGTAATATGAAATAGGTCTACCGGTATCTGTGTCAGTTAACCAATATTTATTGTTTAAGTTTCCCAAGCTCTTCTGATACATGTACGTATTAAAGATAAAGGTTTTTTTTTTTTTTTTTTTTTTTGGATTTGAAATATGAAACGTGTACTTGTACAAGCATTTGCTAATGTGCATGTTTCATTTCATAACAAGTAAACACTTACTTAGTAAATTACATTTAATTTACCAAGAACGTTTGTAGTTTGTTAAAGCATAAAATCATCAGTTTTTATGTGTATTCTGTTAGCATACAAAATGACAGCTCAGTTCCTTGCCAATTTGAACAAATATATATGATTTTCCTCAAAATATTCATTTATGTGAATATAATTTTTTTCATGTGAAGTTGCCAATTTAGGTAAGATATAAATGATATTATAACTTGTCACCTTTCAGTATATGGGAATTCGGTATGTTGTGCAAAGTGTTGTAACTTTTATTGTATAAGTGCATTGTTAATAACTATTAGTCCCGTACCCTAATTATTGTAACATGTTCGTCTATTGAAAGTGGTGAATTTTCTTGTTGAGTACTATGGACATTTTGTACATGATCTTGTTCATGGCAGAATTTTTTGATGTAGAAGTAATTTATGTTTGTTAAATTTTATAGAAAATATTCATGAATGCAATTATATTAACAACAACATTTTTAAAAAGAAATAATATAAAGAAAAATATTACATGCCAGACTTCCATTCATAACATTTTCAGTAACGTAGGCCATTTATATCGCCCAAATTTCAATATTGTGTCAAATATTCTTAGACAAAGCAAAGCTTTTCTTCTTAAATTTCAAAATTGAGTGAATTGTGAACTTAATTATCATAGATCGCAATCATGATAAACAAAGAAAAAGGGGATGTTTATTAAGATTCCATCTTGCAAAATTTATGATACATGTTTAGAGCACTTCGTCTTGGTAGCACTCTAAAGCCTTATGCACATAAAACATAATAGCTGTTTTGGGCTTCCAGCCCTTAGAAGCTTAAGAGAGTGTGTGTTCTAGCACTGTAGTCAATGTGATGATAAAAACAACTTGCTCATAAAGAAAAGAAAGGCCATTGAAATATATGTTCTAGCCGTTTACGCTTGTTTGGTTCAAAATTGTTACTTAGATATTGAAACTTTGTATGAAAATTTGTTTGAATGTTGATAAGCTTTTTATTAACAGTGAGCAAAAGATTTCATGAAGTTGAGCTTTTTGATATAACAAAATACACTGGAAATATGCAGGAAAAAAAAGAGAATTGTACAAAAAGTGTTAGGAGTTTCTAAAGGAGTGTGCCTGACATTAAAAATTCACATTTCACAATACGCCTCACTTATCAGAGTGTGAAATATGAACTTTTGTTTTTACCGAGTAGAATTGGGTACGAAACAGTAACCTCACTGAAATATCATCAGATGGTGCCAGAATGCTATGCCTTTTTTTAGAGAAAGATGTGAAGCTATGTGGTCTTGATGGTTTTGATTTTACAAAGGTGAAGAACGATCAACATAGTCATGTTTTCTTTTTCTTGTGTACATGTATGCTTGTACCAGCTTGTGTTTTTCCATGGTCAGATGGAATTAGATGCTATTGGTTAAAGTTCATGGCAGAAATAAAATTATGGAATGATACTCTAGTCATTTGGGGGCTAAAAATTCTGACTATATTCAAATATTGCAGGTTTTTTCTCGATTCCTCAATTAGGGATTGTCATATCTTGAAGTTTATTCATAATCATAATGAATAAATTGCACAATATTTTGTAGGTGAAATTTCCTGTTTAATTTAGGAGAGGGGTATGCTGTGTGAAGAAGCTACATTATGTTGCTGCACTTTTAAACAGATTACTGTTCAGATGAAGTAAGAAAAAATTAAGAAAAACAAAAAATGTTGAAAATCAGGCATAATACTGATGCACAATTTGGCCAGTGACATTATCATACAAAAATAAATGTAATTGATATATGTCATCTTTTTTCTCAGCCAATACATATCATTTGATATAGACCTATCTTTTTATACCAAATTTGAATGATTGGAGCTTTTTTTTAATAACGGTAATATGCAATATTGAAGCTATTTCAAGCCAAAAACCCTTGTGTATTGTAAGAAATAAATTATCATCACTTACCATAGTTTTTTTTCTTTACAGTGATGTATTTTGCCAGTCACTAAATGTCACTTTTATATCACTTTTGTAGCAATACGTAATGCGATGCTGCTTTATATATGCTTCATAACCATTCTGTATATCAGTAGATTGATCCCAATACTATGGTAAAACAGATATGTAATATTTGTACGATACTACATTGTCAATGGACCTACACACGGCATACAAGCTTCCATTATTCTCTTGTTATGTATATCATGAAACAAGACTTGTATATTCGTCTAAACTTCAGGAAATGTGTATCAGTGGCATTCGTGTTTTGGCATACACTTTTATGCACGTTTGATAATATTCCTACTTGAGGTTTATCTCCAAATTATTAAAGTACATGTACATGGTTAACTCGTAAGTGTAACACTGCCAGGGTGATTTAGGTATGGAAAGGTTAAAAGAAGATTCTGTTTTTCAGTATAGTCCAGAATCTGGCCGCTTTGATTTTAACAAGACAAGAGCTCCATGAACGCAACTCCAATCTCCTCTACTTGCTGCCAGCCGAAAATGGCAGGAGCCCCAAATAAGTACACCTGGCAAACATTTAGGCTGGGTGTACCGTCAAAGCGTACAAATTCACGGATCACGCCTTCGTTGGCTTGCAGAGATCGCTTTTGCGAAATAAATTAACATCTGCCAGATTCTGGACTATTATCAGTAGTGATCACTTGTCATCTGTGTTGGTTTATCTTGGTCTATTTTATGTAGCGATCGATTGATATAGATTACCCCAAATGAAAACGAGATCAAGATTATTATTCATAATTGTCACCACATGAACCGACCATGGATTGTAAAGCTAGAGCAGTCATACCAACCCATACCCTTTGTAAGGGCTGACCACTTACTCTAAGAATTAAGATGATGTTTTTACGAGTAAAGTTCTCCAATGCATCCTTTCACTTTCTCTGTGTTAACGCACCAACAGCAAAATAATGAATTATATAACACGGGGTACATTATTGAAATGCATATATGGTGTGACCCTGAAAACTTCAGTATTGAAATTACTAGCATACCTTCATTTTGTATCCACTACATATCTTTTTAATTTGTGAATTTTGCAATGAAGATGGGCAAGTGGCATCATGAGTTAGAGGGGGATATATACCACATTGAGAACAATAATGGAAATGATGGCAGATGAAAATTAGCTGTTTGGAACCAGAAGGACATTAACTCTCTAATGTTATGAGTTAAAGACCCTTCTGCCTCCAAACAGACCAAAGAAGCACTACTTTGAATCAGAAACATTTGTACAAAACAATACAAATCAGCATTTTTTGTTGGTGGTACTAATTGGCCATTCTGAGGATATTTCTTATGCTGACTTTTTTTGTTGGTTGTATCTATGATTATTATGATGTTTGTTTTGTACCCATTTGAGTGGCTTCTTACCCCGTGTGTTGTAAACTCTATGCTGTGAAACATGATTATATTATTACTACAGTGTATATGGCAATATAGAATAGTACTTGCCTGTAAGTCACTCTGCATTTATGAAAGAATAAAATATACATTATTCGTCCACAAAAAAGTATGATGACATTGGTTTGTTCATTTTTGTACTGATTTACTTTTCCTTGTTTTGAGTTTTCATGTTTTCCATGATATCATACTATTTTGTTTAGCTTCTTTATACAGCTTTGCAAATTCATTGAACCTGGTCTGTAATTTTCAACCATTTTTTTTTGTCTCTCTCTTTTCTTTCAAGGATACTTCCAGCATTGTTTTTTGTCCTCAGTGCCTCTTTCCATCTTTCTCTTTCTCCTCTTTTCTCCTACCCTGCTCTCTCTCTCTCTCTCTCTCTCTCCCTCTCTCTCTTTCTCTCTCAATCTCTTCCTCTATCTATATTTCTCTTGCTCTTTTTCTCCCCCTCTCTCTCTCTCCATCTCACCACCCTCCTCTTTTCCTGCCTCTCTGCAGCTATCATCCTGTTTAACTTCAATTCATTTCAATTCTCACTTAAAAAAAAGAAAAATTGTATTTTTTGTGGGTGTATCATTTGCTTGCACATATTGCAGTTTCTTGTATATACAAAAATTTGACTACTAGACTCTAAAGAATTTTTTTTAAAGGATTACACCTTCTCAGTGACTCCCTATAATAAGAGACAAATGAAGTGATTTGTGGAGTATTGCAGTGCATTTTTAATTCTTGGTTTCTTCTTCTTGTTCGATTTCACTTCGGATGTTTATCAAGTTCTCCATTTTCCATTCAACGTGCAGTGTCTTGCATCCCACAGCGAAACTGGGACCTTTGACTGCAGAATCCATCAAAAGGAACAGCCTTGTGGGCCAGTGGTATGTCGGTGAAGGTTCCTGACTCTCTTACGTGAGGCCCGTGGTTCGATCCTTGCTTGGGGCCTACATTCTTGTTCCAAAGTGAAACTGGTTCATTTGACTGCAGAATCCATCAAAAGGAACATACTTGTGGGGCCAGTGGTATGTCGGTGAAGGGTCCTGACTCTCTTACGAGAGGCCCGTGGCTCAATCCTTGCTTGGGGCCTTCGTCCTTGTTCTGAAGTGAAACTGGTACATTCGGCTGCAGAACTCATCACCATGACTAGCCTTGTGGAGCAGTGGTATGTTGGTGAAGGCTCTCGACTCTCGTACTAGAGGTCCTGGTTCAATCCTTGCTTGGTGTCTAGCTGCAGCGTTGTTCCAGAGTGAAACTGGTACTTTTTACTGCAGAATCCAGAGTAATTATTAAGGGGACCTTTTCCCCAAAATCAACATAGTAATTACTGTCGTAGATGTTTCGGTGGTGTGGTTTCACACAGTCATTCATCCCGGGACTTTTCCCTCATAGGCCCTTAATCGATAGGCCTACTATTAGAAGGCCTATGTACCACACATGTTTCAGTGGTGTGGTCTAGCAGACGACGTGTTCCGATCACTGGCGATTCCTTCATCGCCCTTGCTCTTCTCAAATGACTTCCTTTTTTAGTATCCTCTACCTCCTGATACTCTACCGGCCTCCATCGCTACATGTGCCTTTCATCATGATGTTCCTAGGTATCAATTATGGATGTCACTACATTGAGTCCATTAAGGGTGTGTCCTCCAAAGGCCCTTTCGATCAAGGACCTCTTCTTGGCCACACAGATTCTCCTGACTATGAGACCAGCTGAGGTTTGCCTGAAACACATCTGAGTTTCAAGCCTAACGGCTTTCCTGACTGCAGGCTTATCTGCAATCTGATGCCTGCGTCCTGGCATCGTCCGGGCTCGTCTCCAACTGTTATACCGCTGATGGATTCCCTCCACCTTTGCCTCGAGTTGCAGAACGAGCTTAGTGAGGACATTTTTGGTCAGGAGTTCTTGTCGACTGGCTGAGGTATTATGGATCTGCTTTAGTTCCAGTTTGACCTCTCCTCTGGTCAGTGCTTGACGCAGTAATGCCCCTCTATCACTGTATGGTCTGCTGCTCTTAAATGATCTGTCATGGATACCATCTAGTCCTTTCTGAGCTTCAAATAAGTCCGTGTTGATGTTTCTCAGCAACAGTTCGATGTAGGCGCAGAAACGGACTTCTCCACAGTATTCAATGGTCTGAAGATAAATTTTCGTCAGTGCGCTGATTAATGGAGGACTAACATTTGCTGAGGTAATGTGTTTAGCATGGATGGTAGTAGAGTGATCTCTACCAAGAAATGTCTCGAGATTTACGGACCGTTGAACAATGCCATGCTTAGGATATGACGTTATAGTCAGAAGCATCCAATTGTCTGAAGTGGCAATGTCCTCCGGTCCTTTGTTGTCATCTTTCCTGAAGGCTTCCTTCACTACTCTAGATGTAAGGTCATCTGGTGTTGACTGAGCCTTGCTCGGGAAAGCCTCCTCTGTGGTCTTCTGGGTGCTCGTGCCGATGATGAAGCAGAGAGCAGAACTGATCAATGCAAGGATGAATGCACAACCTCGCACGAACGGATTCTTAGCGGCCCTCTTGTCCTCCATCTGTGTCTCGGTGCTGTCCAGGTCATTGTTTGAGTCCATTTTCTCAACCCTGGTTTCAATAACGCACCCATTGTCCTCGATGTGTCGACGATGCACCTGCTTGCCCATCTTGGCTCTGTAGCTGGTGCAGAGACTGCGGATTGCTTGCACCTTCCTGTGCACCACGTCTACTGTATTCATCAACAGCATTTGCTCCCATTGCTTATTATCAAGTCCCGGGCCTCTATGCTGCATCCTTAGTTTGAGGTCACGTGAGGTGTCCTCCACTTCGCTAGGTCCATACCTCTGTGAATGGACGTCCTGTACACCGGTTAAGACATTATCCAGCTGGCCGACAGTCCGCATCAAGCGGCATCGGGCTTTCATGAATACGGAGAAATCATCGTAATCATTGACGCTCTCGTTGTCAGTGTCGCTGGATTCTGGTGAGGCGATGAGGCCATCGATGTTCTTTTTCGACCACCATGAACGCAATTTCTGCAATTTGGAGTTCGAGTCCCCGGAGAAAGATTGTTCCGAAGATGTTCCGGCGGCACTTCTGATACAGGGCGATAAAATACGAGAAAGAAAGAGATGGGGACCCACATTAATGATTTAATGTTTAACGAGGAAAAAGAGAGGGTGAGAGAAAATGAAGGGTTACACATGCAGGATGGAGACAGATACTAGACGGGGTAGAGAAGATGAGGGAGAGACAAGAGAAAGCGTTAGAGAGAGAGAGAGAGAGAAAGAGGGGAGAAGAATAAGAGAGGGCGAAATAAGAAGAGTAAGAAGGGGTGGGGATTTAAAAAAAAACTAAAAAACACTTAAAGGGGGTAGCAGTACAGACGAGAGTGAAAACAAGAATGAAAAGGAATTACCTATAAATTAATGAATTTTATTAAAAGAACCAATGAAAAATATCCTGACCGTACCAGCCCCCCCCCCCCCCCCGAAAGCAAATTTTTGACAGTTTGAAGCTGCAGTTTTTAATGGGAGTTAAAACCGAAAGAAGTGTGCTCCTTCCTATCCAGAATACAGTAAACAAAAAATAGAATTCATTAGGACATAATGGGTAATACATGTATTAATATCAATAATACTGAAGCAGATACTTGTGCCCGAGTGCCGCCCTGCCCTTCCCTTCATAACCCCGAAGAAAGCAATGGTGTTTTGACAGTTTAAAGGTCCATTCAAGTATACCCAGACGTTGTGTTTCCAGACAGTAGAATTAAAACAACAACAATTTAAAGAAGTGTAAACGCAATATTTCATAATTTTTTAAAGACTTGATGTGTTGGACAATATAATAAAGAATAAATACTCATGATTTTTAGTGCCAGTCGATGAATATATTTTTCGTCAAATCCGAAGGCAAAAGAAAAGGCTTTATGTTTGTATATTAAGTATCCGGACACCACCCCCCCCCCCCCCAATAATCATCGTTTGATTTGAGGAAACCGAAAGTAGAATGCTTCTTCTTAGGAGTATTATAGTTAAACTTTTAATAGCATTCATTAGGCCATACTGTACAGAAATAATATAACAAGTATCATACCGAGACAGATCAGTGTGCCCGACGTGATTTCGCCCTGAATGATTCTGAAGTAGATGCGACATGTTGATTATATCGATCAAATCCACTGAGAAATATCAGAAGAATATAGAAAACGCTTGAATCCAAAAAGGTCATCAAGATAATAATGTTGATAAACGCTCGTGCATAGTAACAAAAACTAAGATGAAGTGATGCATGCGCATGGTATTGTTGACGTCATGAGCTGTGCGCGTCATCTTTAATCTGCTTGAGTATGCGCAGAACTGATTTCTCTATAATGGAATACACAATTATTAGTAGAGTTAGAATATTTTTTGTTACCTACTCTCATAATTGTGACAAGTGACAATATGCAATGTTCTGGATGGACAGAGTTTATATATTCTCGGAACTTTAATTATTAATCTAAAGAGTCTTAGATACTGATCTATGAAGTTCGGGGGAAATATAAACTTTATCAATTAGTATAAAACTTTCATATCATCACAATCCTTCTCTGAAAAGAAACAATAAAATATTTTCCAACTATATTCATGAACTACTGATAGAACATTCGTTTTCCAAGCTACTGTTTGTACACTAATATCCTTGTAATTGTAATTTTAAAAAAATGAAACAGACACCCCCGCCTCTCTTTCTCTCCCTCACTCCCGCTATCTCTCTCTCTCTCTCTCTCTCTCTCTCTCTCTCTCTCTCTCTCTCTCAGTGAGAGATCTTACACGGTCTAGAAGACTTGGTCATGTTATCAGCGCACCTTTATGGCATTATCGTATCAACATTATTTTCACTTAAGTAGGCCGACTCTTTGGTCTGTATTGTACTAGTCTTTAAAAATGTACAATCCTGGCGATGGAATTTATTTGGGAGACACGCGAATTAATTTGTGAGCATCCCAATAATATTCGTCGGCAAAATCATTTCTGTTCAGGGCATTTCGATTTTTGTTACCCGCCCAATCAATCTAATTTAAAGGGCCCCCAAAAACAAAATCGTTGACGTATAATGAAGTCGTAACATTTCGATTTCGAATTTCCTGTCTTGA